AGATACTTGCTTCATCTGAGTTTCCTTTAGATCTACCTTAGTTGAACTCAGATCGACAACTAACCTCTCTCTCTCTCTCTCTCTCTCTCTCTCTCTCTCTCTCTCTTTCTATCTATATACATATTGATATACATGTATATATATGTGTAGAGGGGGGATTCTACAATGATTTTTTTGGGAGAAAGAACTCTGGAATGAACACACACAGAGAGGGAGAGGGAAGAGAGAGAGAGAGAGAGAGAGAGAGAGAGAGAGAGAGAGAGAGAGAGAGAGAGAGAGAGAGAAAGAGATGTATTTTGTCTATACTAGAGGCTCCAATGAGGAGTGCGGGGAGACGAACGGCAATATCTGGTCATAGGGCTGGAAAGCAACGGATTAAGGGGGAGGAATGGCGGGGCCCCACACAGGTTATTTGACGGAACCAGAGGGCCTGCCTACTCTGATTGAAGCTCCCTCCCGAGTTCGCGAAAACGAGACTAAGGGATTGTTGTATGCCGTATCACAAAGTGCGTAAGTAGACCATGAAGAACGCCGACCGCCCGGAAAGAGTCGTGGGGAGGACGATAGTCCCTCTGCTCACAAGAACGTCCACTGGTTGAGTGGTTGAACAGATTTTATCTAGGACAGGTTCTGGGGAACTCGACGGCCTGGTATGAACGACATTCTAAACAGAAAAGCCTGTCCGTGGTCATCTTTTCTTTTCGATTCCCAACGGCTCGATGCGTGTGTGAGGGGGAGAAAGAGAAAGGTGCGGAAGCAAATGATATGAAGATGTTGCAACGTGTCACGAATCCTGTTCTGTTGTTTCCAAATGAGTCTCCTTCAGAGCGCGAAGGAACAATCTTGACAAGTTGGTATATGTATTCAGCGTAATGGGCCTTTCTATAATTGAAAGGACCGATTTCTCATACAATCTTTCTTCAAAATTCATTTTCGAAACCCATTGCCGACGTCCTATTCCCTTACTTCTCTCTCCTTTGAACAAAGTTCATGGGCCGACAATTGTGAGCATAAAAAAAGTTAGTGGTTTGTCCTTTCATATGTCATGACTACACAATACAGCCTCTACCCTCCCTCCCTCCCTCCCTCTCTCTCTCTCTCTCTCTCTCTCTCGCTATCTATTCCTCAGAAGGGCATCTGACGTGACACAGTCGCTTTGTCACGTGGTATTTAACAAATAAATATGATTGTCCGTGTTCAAAGCGGGCCAAGGGGTAGAAAATCTGCCTTCAAATCAAACAAGACGTGACCATCGTTTCCCCCCACACCGCGTTCGACGACACCCGGTTTCTTCTCAGGGTATGCGAGAACGTCGCAGTCGTGAAGAAAAACGAGACCCAACTGTGACCCAATAGGGTTCACTTGGGCGTGAGCTGGCTTGATAGGAACTTGAGACCCGGGCTTCGGTCAAGACCTACAAACTTCCTTGGTTACCAAAAATGAGATATTCGAGTTGGAAACCTGTGAAATGAAACCCACTTGATAGTATTCTTTGAAAGTTAATATTGAGTATCCAAGAAACCCCTCCGGCTACTTTAAATATGATGTCCAACTGTTCTTCGTTAGACTGACGACGGTGCTGCCCAGAGAGAGAACATGCCAGCAAACCCTAGAATTTGGTAATACCCTTAACACGTGTGGCGGTCCCTCGGGCGATTTTCCTGTCGGCTCCTTTGACCGGTCCTTGTCTCTGGTTAACTCGAGAGCCCAGCCAAATTTGACCGCTCCGACGGATTCATCACCCGCATCCGCACAAGAACTCAATGATTAATATCCTTCTACTTCTGTCCATCCCTAATTCTTGATCGCCAGCGTGGTCTTGTGAGGGGAGATAAATAGAGGGAGGCCCGATGCGTTTCACCCTACGATACGACAGATCCCGTAGTCAAATCAACACTTCCCTGTTGTTAGCTTAGCCTTCTGATGAACAGTTCCCTCGTCCCTATCTACCACACCATTGAGGTGTAAGATTAGATTATTTAACACTCCAACGATTACGTGGGCTTGTGAGAAAAGGATAGTCGTTAACGTTAACCTGTCTATTTCTAAATTCACATCAAGGAGATGATCTCACATCTCTTCGGTGAACTGGCCATCCAGAGAGATAACAGCTGTAAGCGATTGAGAGCAGGACGAAGAAGATGAAGAGGGATAAGAAGTGATGACGAAACACGCGATGGTGATGAACGTTGCCATCCAATGGTGATGAACGTTGCCAAAAGAAAACAACACCCGATGGAAAATATCACAGCGCAACCGGACCAAGGCAAGGATCTCCTCCACTGGCCCGTAAAACGAGGAAATGGTACATTAAATGAGTACATTACCTGATCAACTCTAAAACATAGGAATATACACATATATGTTAGTGTACAGGATTTGTTCTTATTTATTTCTCAGTATCAAATTGGTTTAAGACAAAGATGGAATTATTTCATTTAAAAATTCTCCATCCCGAAAATATTTCAAGAATCACCCGAAGTTATTCGAAGCATGGTTTGAGAACATGCGTATTTCAGAGATTTCATCCAGGGAACTAGGGACTTGGACTCACGAGCCAGGGTAGGGTCCAGAGGATCTGGACTCCTGAGGATTTCCAGCTTCGAGGTGATGGTTATGTGGGTCTGGCGATTCCCTCAAGCGTGTGCGTGGGAAAGGGAGATTGTTAAGAATCCTAAACCATCTCTCGTAGGCTTTTCTACGAGGAGACTGAAACCTTTAAGGACATCACGCCTATATGCTCCCTCAGTTTCCGTCGGCCACAACCTCCCTTCTCATTTCCATTTTCCTTGGGATCCCCCCTAGCTTAACGGCCCACATGAAGGTTCCGCCTTCTCTCTCTCTGTCTCCCTCCATCCCTCCCAGATTCCTTCGTGCACGAGTACTATACACTAATTGGCGAAGGGCGCAGGTGTGAAGCGAGGCGCACGCTGGGAGACTGCCGGCTATACTATTGCGTGTCCGGGCCACTGGGCTACATTTGGAGCGGAGCCCAGGAACAGTTGCTGATCCCTCCAAGATATTCCTCACCCGCGCACATCCCGGGCTCGTGGGCCTCGTGATTTGACGTGCATTTGACGTCGACCGTTGGAAAATTTTCCGACCATATGACGTGGACCCTGACTATCAGAGTGCTCCCATGCCTTACACTCCCCTTAAAACCTTGTTTTAGCCCTATTATTCGTCCACGTGGGTACGGTGTCGTCGGGGTGGCCCCGCCTGGAGTATCTTTAGTGAAGCACTATCTCGTACTTCTGTAAGAGAGAGAGAGAGAGAGAGAGGGTGAGGAGGAAGAAAGGAATCCACAAAAGACAGCTTGAGATAACCGTTTTACAAAAGAAAGAATCAAAGCTTCTGAGTCAGTCCTCATCGAAGCTGAATCCGACTGGGTCTGGAGTGCTAGCTTTCTGTCGCGAGTTGATCTTGGAAAGTAAAAATAAAAGAAACAAGAGGACTCAAAACGCAACCTGCTCTCTGAAACCATGACCGATGGATTATTATATTGCTAAAAATAGGCTTTTGACTGGAAATGTACTCTACCTTACATGTAAGAAATGGGTCTTCAAATTTTTCTAAAATAATATCGTACATGTAAATTAAATTGTACTGGTGTAAGAAGATTTGTACAATTGATGTTGAATAATATTAAGTTTGAAAATTTACCGTTCTTGCTGTGTTGCCACGTTAGGAAAAGCTGGACGCATTACGTCCTGGTCAGCTAGGTCAACCTCCTTTATGATTCATTTAAGGCAGCACAGGAGATAAGATGAGTTAAAAAATTAATCAATAAATAAAATAAAAGTGCTGGAGATAGTGCTGAAAGAGAAGATTGAACCATTCATTCAATTGACCACAGTGTGCTTCGCAGAGAGGAGAGAAGAGTGAGAACCACCTCTCTCTCTCCCCCTCCCTCCTTCCCTCCCTCTCTCTCCCTCTTATCTCTTTCTCTCATTTTCTCTCTCTCCCTCTCCCTCTCTCTCTCTCTCTCTCTCTCTCTCTCTCTCTCTCTCTCTCTCTCTCTAAAATGCCTATCCATCTATCTCTCTTTTGCTCTGTGCCCAACAAACACCCCCCACCCCAACCCTCCCCACCCTATCATCTCCTCGAAGCCCATGTAATTTCTCTAGTTGACCACCACCAACTCGCGGCGCATTTTGCGAGAGATCCATATATGTTCAAATAGTCGCATCCAGCATTCCATTGCCTTGCTGTCCCCGAAGCTCAGCCACCCTTGAGGGTTGAGCTGCAACAGTAACACTACCAAACTCCCTCCCCCTTGAACCGCTGTGCAGATGAATTAAGACAATGTCTTTCAGAGAGACCTCATACCACTAGAATCAACGCACTTTATTGATGACATGCATCTTACCGGGTAACCCTAATCCAACACCGCGGAGGAGGTGCGATAGAAGAAAGCCACCACAGTGGAGGTGCTTCCCGATCTCAGCGCAAGGTCACGGTCCACAAGGTGGTTTGCGAATGGCAATGGACAAGGATTGAAAGCGATCATGATCCTTTCCTTTCGATGCAGAAGAGACATGAATCACTGTGTCTCTGTCTTTTGCTCCCCTTCGCTGCCGCAAGATGGCTTGTAGAATGGGTTATCGATGTCTGCGCCATTTAATCACGTCCCCCCCAGAGTCAAGGTTTAGTGGATTCAGCCTGTCCAACTACACGTTCATTGGATGATTCAGCAGCCCTAGGAAAGAAGAACACGCTCGAGGTGATCGGTGTTCGCCTGTTTGGTCACTTCAGAGGAGTATTTTAATTTCCGGTTATGTGTGTGTGTGGATGGGGAAAATCGAAACATCACAATTTGTAGGCCATTTGGGAGACATTGGCGAATTATCTATTCCTCGGCGTCTGATCGTCTCTCCCTACCTCCGACTGGTCCTTATAAGCCCGCCATGTGGGGCGCCCTAGCCTTGACTTCAACGAAGAAGAACGAGAAAAGTGAAAGAGGGAGAGAAGCATCCGTCTTCTCTTCTGCATTGGGGAGGATGACCGGCTTCGGTTCACCCTGTGGAGCCTGCAAGTTCCTGAGGAGGAAGTGCGTCAGAGGGTGCGTCTTTGCGCCATACTTCTGTCACGAGCAGGGAGCCACACACTTTGCCGCCATACACAAGGTCTTCGGTGCCAGCAACGTCTCGAAGCTCCTCATGCATCTCCCGCTCCCCGACCGCTGCGAGGCCGCCGTCACCATCTCCTATGAGGCCCAGGCCAGGCTCCAAGACCCCGTATACGGCTGCGTCTCTCACATCTTTGCACTACAGCAGCAAGTCTGTGCTCTCCCGCTGGTTCTCCTGACAAATTATTGATTCATGCTTGATATTGTTGGGCGGGGAGTTGAACAATCGTACATTGATCGATTGGGGGAAAAAAAACCTGTGATCAGCATATATCAATGCACTCTAGTTTTTAGTTAAACGATCCGATTCTTTGGCTTTATATCGTCGTCAATTTGGTTTTAGTTAGTGAATATTCAGAAGTTGGGGATTTCAATTTCATTATTTCTCTATCGGCATTTACGTTTCTTGCCTTGGTCTGGCGTGTAGGTCGTCAATCTTCAGGCTCAGCTGGCCTCCCTCAAGGCGCAAGCGGCACAAAGCTATGCTACAGGCACTCAGGACGACTTCTGCAACTCTCTGCTGCCCTACCAGCAACATGGCCAGAGTTGCTTACCCTCCGGCGACGACGTGAAGATGATGCGCACGTTACTCTCCAATCAACATTTGGAGAACAACAGTAACTTGCCGTTCTACGGCAGCGCCATGGTGGATTCCGACCGCGTAGAGTCTTCCATGGAGTACGACCACTCGAGCGCCGCCGACGTGCACCTCCACTTCGGCGGAGATGACGGATCGGCCTGCGTCGACATGCAGACAAATGGTAGGAAATCGGGGTATCAAGATATGGACGACCTTCAATCTGCTGCCCTTGCCTACCTCCGTCACTCGTAATGAGATATCACTGTCATCCGTGTACACATACTCATCAAATTTTCAGTCAAGGAGTTAATCACTTCAGAAATCGAAGCGCATCTGCCCGTCAATAATCTTGGAGACGCCCATTCATATCACATGCATATATCTCATTCGAGATTTATAATATCGCCAAGGTGTTTTATGCGTTCTCGATATTCGATTCCTTATTCCATTAGAGGTGAACTGATGAGGGCTTCAAAGGCGTTTAAAGTTTTCACTCGATATAAGAGTAGAGAAGGGCGGAATGGATGATCCCTCCGTATCGCTGCTTCAATATGTCGTCGTTGGGTCACTTGGAGCATACTCTCTCTCTCTCTCTCTCTCTCTCTCTCTCTCTCTCTCTCTCTCTCTCTCTCTCTCTCGCTCGCTCGCTCGCTATCTGAAGGGATCTTCGATCGAAGAACCCACAAACACTTTTCTAGGAACGCTACTGTTTGATTCCTGTGGGACATGTAACCCTGAGACACCAAATGACTGAGCTCTTTCATATCCACTGTTCAATGTTTTGGCCATGGCCAAGAATCGGGAGCAAGAAATAACTCTTGAAGATAGATCATCTACGTTTATAATACGATGAACGCCATCTCATGATAGTCTTCAAGAGCTCTGAAGGCGTTCCTGCGAACAGGTCTCAGCTCCATTCTTAGAACTGCCAAAGGGTGATGAGAGAATGTGTGACTATTAAATATCTGGTTTGTCAGTATGGGCACTAGCCTTGTCTCATTCATGGTATCCAGACAACGCAAACAGTTGGCCTGTCTACAGACGCTTGTGAAGAAAAGAGGCCATCTCTGGCACGCTTGTCATAAAGGCAACGCATTCCCCGATCGTACGATTGATCATCCACAGCTATGGTCATGAAAGAAAGAGTCTTGATCTCCAACTGGCTGAGAAGACGGAGCTGCGATCAAGCCCGGAGTTGCACCGGCGAAAATGGGGCTGCCAACCTTTTCTGAGTTGCCCATCGCTGAACTCTTTCGATATAACATTGTTAAACATGAATTGGGTCTGATTCTAAGGTATGATAACGCTGTCAAGCTATTGAATTCAAGATTAATTGGAAATAGTGAATTGATAAGTTAACATATGCCAATTTTTATGTGACTATTCGAACAAAATATTTCCTTACTGAGTCATCTTCTGCATCGACCTTTTAAGTCCACTCACTAATTATTTTTCTAGGCTATCAAACTCAAAATAATTGGAATATAATGAGGTAGATAGTTGATCCAGGTGAACTCATGCGGGGTTATTTGAGTATTCATATTTCAACTTAGCAAGGAGCGAGATAGTAGTGGGTAAGCTAGGACTTTTTCGAGTACAGGTTCCTTCGGATTGCCCAAAAATGGCCATCAGATGCATGCAACATCCCTAATCATCAGGTGGGTATTCTAAACTAAACATTATGCTATTAAGACATCAATCTCGAAATCAATTGAAGGATAGTGGACTGGTCAGTCACTTTCGTGAACTGTTCACATAACATCATTCGTATTCATCTAAGCCTTTGCATTGCCCAAGAATGAGCTTGCTTGGAGGTCAGTACAAAATTGCCAAACATAGAGTAAGTCGGCTTCTCAATTACACCCCCTTATTAACATTACAAGGCTACAACTCAAAATCGGTTGAAGATCAGTGGAACGGCCAACCAATGTGGGCTACTTAACGTGGCATTGCTGCAGCAGAATGCGTCATATTTAACTTGGTTTTCGAATTGTCCAAGAACGACTGTCAGCAATTTTCTCAGACAACGGCCTCCGCGCCATCCATGTCAAAAGCAAATGGCAATGTGAGAAATAATTTCAATGGGGCTTCTGGGTTCTGCATCGGTCATTGGGGTGGCCTGGACCGTCACCAATTTTATCACTACTGGATATGAAGCCTGTGGTAGAGCCCATATCGGAAGGAAGAAAAAATCCCTTCTCATACCCCTTGTCCAGCACTGAGAGAGCGCAACCTAGGAGTTGATCTAGCACCGACCGATGAGAGCGGTATTGTGAACCATAATAGAATTAGAAACGGTGCAAAAATGTCCTGTCGTTGCTCCCCGAAAGTGGGATTGCGAGGTGCTTCACGGCTAGCTGGTCTTTTGCTTTGTCGCCCGTGTGAAGCCCATTTGAAGAAAGTTCTTTCGGCTCATCTTGACAGACTTATTGGACTTGGTCGATGGTTCTTGACGCTCAAAGCCAAAAAACCGCGCCGCATTTTTCCCATGGCGAGGCAGACAATGTTGGCCAGCTGTTCCCATGCCACTTGATCTAAGCATTAGAGAAAGTAAGACGCGACACGTGGCAATGGAACGCTCTAAAGCCAGCGCCCTCTGATGGTGGGCTGTAAGGGGGGGACCCAACACTGTAGGTGGGGCCCACAACGCACCATCAAGTAATCAGGGAGGGGAGAGAGAAGGGTGACGTGGTGGAGACGTCCACGTCGGCGTGGGCAGCCGTTTGTGAGTGGCCCCATCCTCCGCTTGTCATCCATGTGTGGCAGCACTCCCCAGCCGGGAATCACGTCCGCGTCATCGCGTGAACCGCATCGGATGGGTGGGACTGTGAGGAGTTCCACGTAGACTCGGTGGATCGTCCGGATTGGCTCGACTTGGCCCCCGTGGGCCTCATTCGTTGACAGAATTCATCGAGTGAGAGTCCACACCTCGTTGACTCAAGCGACTTAAAGAACCATAAATAAATAAAACCACTACAAAGGTGTGGACATCGTGATAGAGCGACCTGTGTGCTCCAGGTCAGGAGTAGAAGTCACTGCGGACATCAGTTACCAAATAAGATTGGTTGATGGGTTCGGTAAGATCCGTCTGATCCACGAGAACAAAAAAAATCAAGGTGTAAGAATAGAGAAAGGGCGAATACAAGGTTGGTAGGAGGAAATAATGTTATGCAAGTTTATTTATTCAGCACGTAACATAATGAACTAATGAAATTAGTATCCGAGGAAACACCCCACGTCAGGTGAAGATTGGATATCCAATCCGATATTAAGAACAAGTAAATTCATCAATTTGGGGCGATTGAATAAATCATAACTCATTTTGGAGTTGGTCAAAAGCTATACGGACAAAAGGATTTGTTTAGTTAGAGATCCCCACTAGACCTTCCCACACGTAACTAGTTGATAACCCCTACTCTTTTTATCCTGATCGGTTGGAAGCAATGATTCATAGGCAAAGGCCATTTAAGGACCTATTATAGAGTCAAAGATAGCAAGCGCCTGCACCATGCATGGAACTAGCAGGCCAATGGCTTTTCGGTCTCCTTCAGCCCATTTTTTCCTCAGATCTTAAAGTCAAACCCAAAATTGAAAATTAGCCTTGGCTCAATTTCAACCCAGACCAGAAATCGCATCTGATAAGGTCTAAGCCCGAGAGGCCCATCTCTCTCTCTCTCTCTCTCATTAACGTGCCGTCGACTTAGGCAGGCCGTTTAAGACGGAAGCGGATGAGTGAGGTAGGTCTTGAGGTTCTACCCCCACCCACATGAGCGCATGCAGACTCGGCACGTCGAGCCAACGGGACGATACGGGGGAGAAAACGATGCCTACCAACTGCCACCACCCCCACCCCCAGCTGCCATTCGAGGGGGGCTGAAGCCCGCAGAAATATCTCACACGTGCCATCCAGTCCTCGGACCGTGGGGGCTTTTTCGTATTTTAACATGTAGAATATATATATGTATATATATATTACATTCTCCTTTGTGCCGGATATTGCTGTGAAGCGTAGTGGTGATAAGGTTTTTTAATAATTGACTTAATATGATGTTAGTTATAAATAAAGTTCATTCAGCATACGTATGTAAGCGGTATTTCCCGCACTCAGAGATAGAGAGAGGAGTAGTGGGTGACGATAATTAATTACTCAGAAACTTCGGAATAATAACGCATTCAATGTCACCGTCGCTCCTCCGCCGGGACCAGGAGGCGCCGTAGAGAGAGAGAGAGAGAGAGAGCGATAAGGTGTTTGCTGTCGGCCCTCTCCGTAAGTCGTCGGGAGAGGAGGGCGGAGCTCAGCGGCTCCACTTGCCTCACCATTTAAGACAGCGCGCAACCCGTGATGAAGAGAGAGGCCGGACGCCGGAGGAGGGGAGGGGGAAGATACCTACGTTTACCAGAAGCGAACGCCGGCCGCCGCCGCCCGTCGGCGGCAGCAGGAACGCCTTAGGAAGCCTCTTCCAGGTATGGACAAAGGAGAAGCCTTCTGGCTTGCTTCGACGCCTCAAGAGGGCAGTTACCCTGTTACCCCATTCCCTCACGCGATCGCGAGTTGCCGTGGGTTGATTGCCAAGTCAACTCTACGATTTTAGAGAGAGAAAACTAAGCCCGGAAGAAAGTCGCCGGCTTCCCGAAGCGTTCCATATCCGCGCACGGTGGTCGCCGAGTCGCCCTCTCCGACCTCCGCCGGGCTGAGGGGGAGCTACCGGTGAAACCGCGTGCCCGAAAACCTTTAAATCCTCGGGCCCTTGTTCCACGCGTGGGAAGCGGCGGCGGCGATGCTTGCGTCGGCGAGCATGCGGTGGTTTCCTCCCTCCCCGCGTAAATCCCGTCCACTGGGATCCAGAATCAGAGGAATTTGGGACAAGTCCCCGGCGTAGCTGCGTGGATCTTGAGATCGGAGGGGAGGAGTCATCCGCCATGGTCTCAGAGCACTGGATCCCCAAAATGCGAAACCAGGACAGCTCCAGTCCCCAATCCACCACCGCCGCCGCCAAGAAGAAAGAATCCAAACCCTCTCCCGAGCTGAACGTCGTCGGAATCCTATCCTTCGAGGTGGCCAGCGCCATGTCCAAGATCATCCACCTCCACAAGTCCCTCTCCGCCTCCCAGATCTCCCGCCTCCACGGTGAAGTACTCAATTCCCATGGCGTGCGGAACCTCGTCTCCGACGACGAGACCCGGCTGCTGGAACTGGTGGTTGCGGAGAAGCTCGACGACCTGGACCGAGCCGCCGCGGTGGTGTCCCGGCTGGGGAAGCGGTGCAACGAGCCGGCTCTGGTGGGCTTTGAGCACGTCTACGCCGACCTCCTCCGAAGCCGGGTGGAGATGGGCAAGCTGGGTTTACCGGCGAAGGACATGGAAGGCACGATCAGGAAGATGGAAAGGTACGTGAGCTCCACGGCGAGCCTCTATGCCGAGCTGGAGGTGCTGAACGAGTTGGAGCAGGGGGCGAGGAAGTTCCTCCCAAGCCAGTACCACGAGGAGACCCGCCGGGCCTTCGAGCAGAAGATCCAGTGGCAGAGGCACGACGTCCGGCACCTCAGGGACGTCTCGGTGTGGAACCAGACCTTCGACAAGATCGTCAGCCTAATGGCGAGGGCCGTCTGCGCCATTCATTCCAGGATGAGCCTCATCTTCGGGGAGGCGATTCTCCCCCAAAATGTGGGCACAGAGCTCTCGGGTCGGTTCGTCTCCGGCCAACTCGTCTCCGGGCGCCGCCGCGTCCCTCCGTCCGGTGCTGTGGCGGCGATGCCGCAGAGAAAGCAAGTTGGTGCTCTCCGCGTGGAGAGCCTCAGGCTCCCCTGCGGGCCATCTCCGGTGAGACTCTTCGCCGAATGCCTCAGCTTAGCCAGTTCCGCCCCTTTGGAGGATGATCGGGATGGGGATGACGAGCATCTAGAGAGGGGAAGCAGCCGGAGCCGGGCGCCGATGAGCGGCCCCTTCCTCCGTGGCCGACCCAGCAAGCAGCGGACATCCATCCCGAAGAACGGGTTGGCGGCACGCGCCGCCCCCTCCTCCGTCGGTGGCTCTGCTCTTGCCCTGCATTATGCGAACGTTATAATCATCATCGAGAAGCTCCTGCAGTATCCCCATCTTGTCGGAGAGGAAGCCCGGGACGACCTCTACCAGATGCTGCCGACGAGCTTGAGGTCTTCTCTGAGGAAGACACTCCGGTCGTACATCAAGGATCTTGCGATCTACGACGCCCCCCTGGCTCATGACTGGAAGGAGCGCCTCGGCAAGGTCCTCACCTGGCTCGGCCCCATGGCTCACAACATGATTAGATGGCAGACCGAAAGGAACTTCGAGCAGCAGCAGATAGGGCCGCGGGGGAGCGTCCTCCTTCTGCAGACCCTTTTCTTCGCCGACAGGGAGAAGACGGAGGCCGCCATCTGCGAGCTTCTGGTAGGTCTGAACTACATCTGCCGTTACGAGCACCAGCAGAGCGCCCTCTTGGACTGCTCCAGCAGCCTGGACTTCGAGGACTGCGCCGACTGGCAGCTCTAGTACTGAGAATCCCCTCGACAATTCCTCCGGCGAACTAGGAGAGGAAGACGACGATGAACAGAGAACAAGAGAAAGGAAGAAGAAGACACCTCTGTAGAGATTCTTAGGTTCTTCTTTTTCTCTTTTTCTCTTCTTCTTTTTCTTCTTATTATTCCTCTTCCTCTTCCTCCCTCTCTTCTTCTCAGATCGACGATGCTACATACATACTTCCAGAAAAAAATGATGAGTGGATAGAGTTTGGTTGATTCCACGGAGGAACCAGCGCTCCATAAACTAAACACAGCCATTCCTGGTATAAAAGTTAGAAAATACCCGCGTAATCTTGACAAATCATAGAAGCATTTGACTGTTGAGATGGGTTTCTTGAAAATCTTAGTGGCCTGCGCCATGAAAGGCTATAACATGGAAGTATTGCATTGTTAATAAGATTCAACATGGATGTCGTGGGGAACTTTGGGCATGATTTGAGGAATTGTTGTCACTTGGCTTCACCAAGTTGACCAGTTTTCTCTCTTTATTAACAGTTGATCATCTACCCCAGGTTGACAGTCTTACCAAGAAACCGACATTATTGCACCCAATCCTTCAATTTTCTGTATAAACGTTGAGCAACCCGCAAGTGTTGATGATTACGTCCTTTCAACTACAAAATCAGTGGTCCGAGCTTGTCGACCTTGGATCCGAGGCGAGGATGTACAGCGTAGATGCCGAGAAGGCTATACAAATATTTATATTGCAGAAAATTTATTTTAAAATACTCTTTAGGTGTTAGAAATGGAAGAGTGATGGAAACAAAAGGAGACAGTGAGGAGCCGTGTTCGAGCGGAGACGGGAGGTAAAGGTGTGAAGGAAAGAACCAGAGATAGAAAGGTATAAGTGGGGGGTGGAGAGAGGAAAGCATGACGGAAATTGAGGGAGATAGAAAACGGCGTGTAGGGAACGGAGAGAGAAAGAGAGGGAGAGAGAGAGTAGCATCGGCAGGGGGGTAGGGACCGAGGGCGGTGGAGAGTAAAAAAAGGACATGATGTAGACAGGAGACGCATAGGAAGAAGAAAAAAAAAAAGAGAATCTTGGAGGAGAGAGAAAGAGGGATGGTAGAACGAGAAGAAAAAGGGAGAGAGTAGGAGAGAGGAGTGAGAAAGCGTGGAGGAATGAGATCTAAATCTCAAATTGACCCAATCACCTAGATCTGACGATTGCCTGTATTGATTTTTAAATATACTTTAATTTTTTTTAAAAAAAGATCGGCAATGTTGAAATTTCTCCCGTATTTCAGGGATCATAGGATCCACCTAATCGAAAACTCTAATTATTCCAGTCAATCCAATCTCTTGGACCTTGTGCTTCCATTTATTTATTCTAAATGAAAAAATAGTGGCTTGTTAATAAATTTATCCCATTATTTGATGAGCATGAGATCGACTGAAGTAAAAATTCAATTTTTCGATAAAATATATATTGCTGAAACCCCTAATTTCTGGACACCTATAAACTGCAACAATCGTGCTTAATTGCTATGCAACTTGATCTAGGTTGTGTTTTGTATTAAAACTGTGCTGATCCAGATCGACATAATTGATCTTGAGCTGGAAAATCCCTACTTGGATATTGAATCCGCACCGATATAATCCCCCAATGAGACCCAAAATCTCTGCCAGCCTTCGTTCAACTTGGTGACTCCCTCGCCTAGGAGATGCTTCCCTTCCTCATCGAATCCGAGAATGGCTGCAGCAGCCTGCCCATTAATGGAAAGTCATGGTGCCAGTGTCCCTCCATTCAATTCTAGATCGTCTCAGCAGCCATTAAAGGCCAATCTTCCCAGCATCTTCTTCTTCCTCCTCATCCTCGTCATTTCTTTCATGTGACAAAGATGTGACCGATGGGGGGTCGGAGGCTGCTTTCATGGTGTACGAGAGGCGTGATAAAAGGCTTAAGGAATTGCCCGAGGCTGCTTCCTCTGACCGGCCCTCCTGGGGGAACAGTCGGTTCTGTAAACAGCAACAGCGGGAGCCCAAGGGAGCGTCGAGCAGCTACAGGTTCCTGTTGCCGTTGTTGTTGTAGGTGGTGGTGGCGGTGGCGGCGATTAATGGTGCATTCAATCTCCTCTCATCCCGCTGGCTCCATTTTCTTGCTGGTCCAACCAAAGCCTCCGGCCGCTGTAAGTTGTTGGCACCTGCGAATGGAGTATATCAACTCAATGGCTAAACCCTGTGCCAGCCCAGGAAGAAGCCCGGGCCTTCGATAGGGTCTCGCTCAGAAGCGCGGACTTCATTATTTTGATCAGCCTTTCCGTCTCAACTCTTCTCTTCTCATCTCTCGGATAGGAGATGCTTGCGGAGGGATGAACCGGTCTTAGGATCTCCACGGAGGAGGCTTTGCTCACCGTCGAGCTCGCCCCTCACCACCTACCTATTCCCTTAACGTTGGAAGTCGCCTTGGCATGACCTAGGTCCTACGAGGTCCAAATCACTGAAAACCTACGGCGACGACCATGATTCCTAAGTCCGCATGCAGAGACATTCGACAAGGATATCTGGAAGCCTGACGGGTGCAGCTGCAAGCTGACGTGAGCCACGATCTACGACTTGTCGCCCCGTAGGGTTTCTGTGCATGGAGCGAGGTGATACGAAGCTCGATTTTATGAGGGTGCATGTGCTTACGTTCGCCAAGGACGGATGAGTGAATCAGAAGCAGTAAATGGCCGTCATTGGAAGATGCACACTGACGACCCCCACACCGCCGCGACCGCCCTCACCCCCCCCGCCCCCCCGAACACACACAGAGTGACCTAGAGAGGAGGTCAAGGCGAGAGGAACATAGAGCTTTTATGGGCCTATGAGGGTGATCGGGCCGGGAGTAAAACCGGGATTTTCATGGGGTGACCGGCCCATTATGGATACCGGCCCATTAATAATTTCTTCCATGCTTCGGACGGTCCATTAGGGCGAGCTCTCAAAGCCGGTCCGTTTCAAAGCTTGGGGTTAAACCTCATAAGCTAGCTATTATTCATACACGTATTCATTGTACATACAAGAATAGGAACCTAAAAATAACTTTAAAGAAAAAACATTAAACTACTCCATTTCCTGATACGTTGGTGTTGACGGTCGACAAGGATCATCGACGCCATGGATCGGATCGCAACCCCTATACGTATGATCAGTTTGTCAACCCGTGTCTGCAGATGTCGGCCGTGGACACCCCTGGTCACTTTTGCATTTCAATCTTGGCTGTTAGGGCGGCCCCAGTGGATGACGAGGGGTGACCAACAGTGATGTGGATGAGAGAGCCAATGATTATACGCTGGCTGGCGATCTGATTGATGACATGGATGGCAGCTCACCATATCCAATTTCGTAGAAAAAACTCTTAGAGGTTCTTTTTCTCCCCAGTTTTGGGCGTGCTGCCATAGACGAGACATTGTCTCCGTACAGTCTATTGTGGGGCGAATCATTGGGTTATCGTAGCTGTGTTATGTTGGGTATGCACTTCTTTTGTTTAGTTTTTCCTTCCAAATATGTAGGCATTTGTTGAAGGCATCCTTATTTTTAAAAACCTTTAAAAATTATCCTTTAAAGACTATCTTGTCCTGATTACGATTGTTAATTGGTCGCACTCCATAAAGTTCGACCAAAGGAAAGAAACCTGGAAAAAGGAATGCACTTGGAGTTGTATGAGTTTCCCTGGCGCTTGGGGCAGAGACCAGGAGGCGAAAGTAAATATACTCATTATTATTATTGAAATAAGTGACGAAATACATAAGCAAGATGTGGGAGGGAATGGATCGAAATTGGACCGTTTCAATGGATATTTCGTTTTCTTCCATGATGTAGTCATGTCCACTGGCATCCTTGGTTTTTGATAGTTTAAACAACAGTGCGCAGGCTGTTTCAGCAAAATAACACCAAAAGTAGGTGAAATTTAAAGGGCCTATTCATCTGTTCTTGAAGGGTTTCTCGGTAAACCCGATTTAAGCTCATCTCCATGCCGAGTTGCCAATCACATAGGAAGTAGATTTCGACAATCGTATTGGATTATTCTAAACACATCTCAATGCTTTCAATCGATACATATGGCCCGCATTAGAATGGGATATCATCACTTGGACAAGGGATGTGGAGTATAGGACACTAGAAGGGCTAATCTTCAAAAATCATGCCCAAAACCTAAATCCCTTGGCCTTGGCCATGGGGTGTCGTTCTTGGAGAAGAGAGCTAGTCTCTTTCCGTCGAAAATGGCGAGTTCCGATTAGTGGGGTACTGTGCATGTACCCGTTTGCGTATTGGCTCTGGTTACTTGACCCTGCCTGAGCGATCCGCAGCAACCCTAATATCAGAACGATAAGCCTCAACTGTTTCTTTTGTCTCATCGATGAATACAACTGAGAAAGCTTCGACTGGATATTCACGTGATTGAAAAACAGACATTTTTGTTTTAACATGTATGCTACCGGCTCTTAGTAAGATGACTGAGAAGCAAGCCCTCCTGCTCTGTTTCCTAATGGGCAAGAAAATGAGAAGTCAAGGTCGGAGAGGAAGAAGAAGAAGAAGAAGAAATAATGACAACTTTTGTTCTTCTTTAGAGAGAGGATATCCCCCTCTCTTTTATTCAGTTTTACCGTGAGATCGCCGTAAGATCATCGCCATCGCTTCTTGGGAAAGTTTTAAGAGACTGGCTAGTATACTAATGGTGTAGTTTACAGGTGTCGCTAATCCTCGTGCGTTTCATAGGTCACGGCAGTAGATTTCTTTCCCTTGCGGGTGGAAAGTCCAAGGCGAGAGACCTCTCGTCCGTTAGTCTACAAGGAATCCATCCCCTCAGTGGGAAGTTTTGACAGCCAACCTTCATCAACAGTCATCTGCTGTCGACGCCCATAAAATACTGGGATGTGAGGTCACACCTCAGGGCTTTCCTCTCCATAAACTCGCGTGAGAGACTCTCTCTCTCCCCGCCGCCCTCCCCCCTGCCGAACTGCACTTCAGACTCATACTACGACGCTGTACAAATTGATTGATGCAACCACACAATTAAATACTCTCGCTCTCGGTTGGTGGCTAGTCTGGCTGACGATGCGCTATAATATCAAGGTTAATTTCCGGTGTAATTCTGTATTCTTTATTGTCGACGGAGTTTATTTATTCATGAAAAAGACCGTAAAACCCCAAATTAGAAGTTATAGATAGGCGAACAACGTGAGCTTTCAATTCGGGAGGTGCCCTTGCAAGTGGCCCCCTCGTGGCCCATTCTCAATGGCGTCTCGCTCCGCTCCCTCTGTCGCTTTTCGTATAGCAGGTACAGACGGCTGACTTCTGTGCCCTTCTGAAAGGAGGGTGGGTGGGTCAACTCGGTCCGATTGGGCTAACTTGAAAAATTAAGTGACCCCGTCCCACATTCAAGTAGCAGCCCGTAATTTCTTCATCAACCAAAATCCATCACAAAGCGGATGGTTGCCAACGGTGACGCCATCAGACGTCATAGCTCTCCTTGATTGGGTCAAGAAAGGTTGTCTTTGCGGCCTCCCCACGCAAGGGACCATCCAGTGCGCTTTTCATGGGTTTATGTTCTGGCCTAATTCGCCCCCTAATATCAGCTTGTCCCAATGAAAGTCGTTTCTCTTTCAAAAGAACGATTAAAAGGACTGTTGAGTGCTTCTGTGGGTTGGGTTAGTGTATTTGAGGGAGTTGTGTCCAAGCTTTGGTAGACTATTTTCCCTTATTAATGGGGAATTTCTTTCTGCTTGTTCATTCAGCTGCATTAGGGTTGCAAGCCCACTCAAGGGGGATCTTCATGGCGAGTAGCCAGAGCTCTGCATGAGCCAGGCTTTTCTCGGTAACCCCTGAGACGGATTGACAGGAAAAGACAGTGGAGGGGGATGGCCTCCCACAGTGAGTGCGTGGTTCGGCTTTCGCCCCCGTGTCCTTCCATGTTTTGTTTTCACTCACGTGGCAGCTTCCTTCCCTCGATTCAACTAAGCATGAGTATCTATGCCACTGAGTACAGCGGCGCTATCATCATACGATAGCCAGGGCCGTCTCAGTCAGCAAAGAGACGAAGGACCGGAGTGTTGCTTCCATCCACGTTTTTAATTCAAATAATGCTTTTATGTTGAGGGAAGGCCTCTAATGGAGGGAATGGCGTAGGTTTTCAGTGGATCAAGTTCCCATACCTCTCTACAGAGAGATTCGTCACCGTCGGTTCATCAATTTGCAATCAAATTGATGCCACCAACAGGATTGCCTAATCGTGCCTGCAGCTTAAAGAACACGACAAACTCGCCACTCCCCACCCTCCTCCCCCGATCTTCTCTCTCTCTCTCTCTCGGTTTGCAGAGTTCTATGAGATCCCCCCAGCTTTCTTCGTACTTCTGTTCCAACAGTTTTGAATCCGGAGAACAGTCAGTCAATAGCCAGATCCAATGATATGACATGAATTACACTCCACGGATCAACCATAAAAATAACCATAATGGATATGATAACTGAAGTAAACGTGGTAAAGAAATTGGAGACCTCCGCGATAATCATAGTGACTTTGGACCTGAACGTGCTTCTCAATTCGCTCCTGTCAACTCGGTTCCCTTATTCCTTGGTAATATTTCGAACTATGTCTTTGCTTATACTTCGTTCTTCTCTTTGACCGAAGAATGGTTTCGAGGGATGAGTTGAAATATGAGGTGAGCGGCGGATCGCTGCGTCGGCTTGGAAGCTTTCCGTGCCCAAATACCCCATACGTCTGGTCCAGATCTTCCATGAACGCCGAGTCTCCAGCGGTCCTTTCCGGTATCTCTTTCCCATTGAAACGTCTCTACGTTTCGGGGGTCGCAACCTGTTCACGCGGTAGACGACCAGTCTAACCCTAATTTTCAAGCCCCCCTCTCCTCTCTCTCCCTCTCTCTCTCTCCCTCTCCTCTCCTCTCTCTCCCTCCCCTCTTCTCTCTCTCTCTCTCTCCTCTCTCTCTCTCTCTCCTCCTCCTCTCCCTCTCTCTCCTCTCTCTCCCTCTCCCTCTTCTCTCTCTCTCTCTCCTCTCTCTCTCTCTCTCTCTCCCTCTTCTCTCTCCCTCCTCCCTCTCTCCTCTCTCTCTCTCTCTCTTCTCTCTCTTTCCTCTCTCTCTCTTCTCTCTCTTTCTCTCTTCCTCTCCTCTCTCCTCTCCTCTCTCTCTCTCTCTTTCTTCTTTCTCTTTCTCTCTTTCTCTCTCTCTTTTCTTTCTTTCTCTCTCTCTTTCTCCTCTCTCTTTCTCTCTCTCTCCCTCTTTCTTTCTTTTCTTTCCTTTCTCTCTTTCTCTCTTTCCTTTCTCTTTATTCTCTTTCTTTCTTTTTCTCCTTTCTCTCTCTCTCCTTCTCTCTTCTCTCTTTCCTCTTTCTCTTCTCCTCTTCTCTCTCTTTCTCTCTTTCCTTTCTTTCCTCTTTCTTTCTTTCTCTCTTCCTTTCTCTCCTTTCTTCTCCTTTCTATTCTTTCTTTCTTTCCTCTCTTCTCTTCCTTTTTTCTTTTCTTTCTTCTCTCTCTCTCCCTCTCACAGTGGATGGCCCGCATCAACATTGTATAATATTCTAAATCCATGCCACCCTGTTCATCAAACTAACTTCTAGCTAAGCCATCTCCGGTTGCCATCACTGCCAGTCCACCATCGCAGAGTATTAAAAAAATTGAGAGAGAGAGAAAGAGAGAGAGAATAAAAGAAAGCAGGCGTTTTCCGGTTATTATAATGGCACAAAGAAGAGCAGGACGGCCTCCACCCTCTCCCTATCTCTCCTTCTTTTCATCTTTTAGACCTCTTGTTCCATCTACTGTTCATCGTCTTCTGTTAGTCTTTGGCATGCGCTCACGATCTGCCTCAGAGAGGGATTGAATCAGCTTCTTTTCTTCTTCTGTTCAACCCAGATTCACAAGATAGCCCCTGAATTCTGCTTCGGTCACCAACACCACAAGGAATTGAGAAACTTACGAGGCTTGGCGAGGAGTTCGCTTTACGAAATCTTTCCCACCGTGGTATGAGAGAACATTAGGCAAATCGGCCGCCCTTTTGGCCGCTTATCTTTGTGTTCGTTCCCTCCTTTGGTTGCTACCTCGAGGAAACAGCGTATGACACCAGTCTTCCTTTTTCCTCAGGGGCACGCTTATTGAAAGATGGGCGGACGGATTGATACCTGAGGAGAGAAATCTAGCTATTTCAAGACCCGTTCGCTCTCTTCGTGAATTGATTCCTCTCATATTCACTTCCCAGTGTTCCGATTTAGAGGCCAGCGGATTCCGCTTCAACCGCAGAGGGAAGAAACTATCAGCCAACGCAAACTTGGTAGCAGAAACTAGTGCAACAAGAGGAGAGGAGAGGGGAGGGAGAGGGTGATTTCTATCAGAGCAAACTGGCGAACAGGTGGTGGGCGGGCCACCTGGGCTTGGCCGGGGCAGAGCCGGCGGCGCCCGGTTCCACCAGCAAAAACCTGAACCCGGAGATGGGTCCCAGGGAAGTCGAAACCGGAGGAGGAGCCAGTGAAGAGAACGAGGAAGAGAAGGATCCGGGAGACGAACCCAGGGAGGGGGCTGTCGAGGTCCCCATCCGCCGACCGCGGGGCCGCCCACCGGGGTCCAAGAACAAGCCCAAGCCCCCCATCTTCATTACGCGTGATAGCCCCAACGCTCTGCGCAGCCAGGTCATGGAGGTGGCCAGTGGCGCCGACGTGGCCGAATGCATCGCGCAGTTCGCGCGCCGCCGCCAGCGCGGAGTATGCGTCCTCAGTGGTACCGGCGCTGTCGTGAACGTCACCCTCCGCCAGCCCACCGCTCCCGGCGCGGTGGTGGCGCTGCACGGCCGGTTCGAGATTCTGTCGTTGACTGGGTCGTTCCTCCCAGGTCCGGCGCCGCCAGGCTCCATGGGTCTCACGGTTTATCTTGCGGGCGGTCAGGGCCAGGTGGTGGGAGGAAGCGTAGCAGGCAGTTTGGTCGCTTCTGGGCCGGTCATGGTGGTGGCTGCGACTTTTGCAAACGCCACATTTGAGCGCCTGCCGCTCGACGAAGAGGAGGACGATCACATTGCTGGGGGAGGCGGCAGGCCTGGTATGATACCCGGGGGCTCGCCGACGGGGATGAGTGGACCTGCGGGGGGGGGCCTTCCTGATCCGTCGTCTCTGCCCATCATCAATTTGCAGCCAAATCTGCTGCCCAGCGGCGGGCAACTGCACCACGATGCCTTCCCATGGCCTCACATTCGCCCTCCGTTCTAACTGATGAGACTTGACAAGGCTGGGAAGGATGGATACGGAAAGCTCGCATCATCATCTGAACCAGAACAGAAGAATTCAAGGTCTTCGCATGTCTATTGACCTTTCTACAGTTCCCATCATCATGAACTTCTTTAGCTCTATTTTCATTGGATGGGAGATATTGGCGGAGGGTGTTGGCCACGATTGTGAGGTTCATTTCTTTAGACCCTAACATCATGTAGAAGCTAAAAGTTCTCTGAGAATTCCTCGCGCTCGAACTGCAATTCTTCCTTGCGCAAGAGGGGCTGTTATCCTTTGCCATTCAACCCTGAGGGTCATTTCCACCGGAGAGGATCCTATTCCCGTAAGCTTGGGAGTCTCAACATTGATCGGAGAGAGAGGTAAGATCTCGTCCTTTTCTTCTCCTACGGACCCGGGCTAAACCCTAACAAATAATTTCCCTATTCATGATCATATTTTCTTGGCAAGTAGTGTCGTGACAACCTTTCATTATCAAACCAGCGAGATGCCCCTTCAGAGAACTTTCTGGACAGAAATTGGTTTCTGTTATCTTGTTCTTCCTGGTCTTTAAACCAATCCATGGATCCATTCCGGAGCATGTTCGTGGAATCTAAACCAGTCATCAAGGATATCGACAATCTTTATCTGAGTTTACGACTGGTGTAGCTCCACTCGTGGCCCCTCGTCTGCATTCCTTCTTAGATTCAGTGTTCGACATCTCCGAGGCATGTGGAAGATCCTTTATTTTATTCTTCTTCTGATCTTTGCGGAGCTTAGCGCACGCAAATACTTTCCCCTTCCTCTTCCCGAATAGATATCCATTCGACGGCTCGCGAATTCCTAATTCAATGGATGTTCTAAGACAAAAAGCTCCTTAGACCAAGTGAATGAGGCGTAAATAATCCTTTAATTTTGTTTCTTTGCTTGACTAGCTCATCGTGTGATTGATGCCTCGTTAGTGCCACCATGGTTTATTGTTCTCTGCGCCGCGTGCTCTTCGGTTTTCTGACTATGCCTCGGTAACACACAGCATAAAGCATCACGTCTGTCCACGGTCCATACGACGGATCATAGGGAAGTTCGATAAACTTCTTGTTGCAAACTTTCCCAACATCTCCACCTAATCGTTTTGTTCCTATTGCCCCCTGCGATGCAGAAACCCTAGCGTCCTCAAAACTAACTTGGGCAGTGATGTCATCCGGCGAAATCGATCCCCCCCCCCGGCCAACCACTGCTAAAAATTATATACATGATAATATTCTACCATTTTATCTTTTGAAAATCTATGGCGAAGGCGTCGATATGACTGCTTGTATGGATGGCTTCGTTTTTAGTGCACAAGGACCGATTTTGCTATGGCTTTTTAGTGCCGTACATGGATTACGGAATGTATGTAGACCCAGATCGATTAAAATGAGGAGGAAGAAGGTTCCTGTTCAGGTCAGTGCATGCTAGCTTTGGAGACGCACCCGGCTTCGCCGGTGTTAGAATAAGAAGAGATGAAGATAAAAGAGCTAACATAAGATAATCAGACTCTTAATTGAATATAGAGCTATATTTGTGAGATGGCGTCTTCGGCGACTTATAGACAGTTGGGGGCACCAGAAAATGACGCCATCTATCTTCCTTAACCTGTACATCATATATCCAGAAATTCCATGACCCCTTTTATCCTTCCACAATAATTTATTCAAAGCCAGCAGTCTCCGTAGTCTTCCCTCCACTAATGTATCATGGGGAAAACTCATGTTCATCGACCAAGACTATTAGTACAACCTTTTTAGTATGATCCCTTCTGCATTTGCCAATGTTACCGCAGTTCGTTCTGTGAAATTCCCATTCGAGATATTCTGGTCTATAGATCCTAACTACTCCGGTTGTCTTAACAAACCATGAAAGCTTCACTGGCTTTCACAGAATCACAGAGAAGCATGAAGACGTTACAGAACTGCGTACCCAGAAGAAATCAGAGTAAACAACTACGAGCATGGGGTATCGGCGGCCTGTGGAAAACTCGAAGGCAGGTCAGTCTCTTACTAATGAATATCGGTGACAAAAAAGGGAATATTTCCATTCTATGATTCTATGACTTCTCTCTTTCATGCACGCATTTTATAAAATGTTTCGTCGGCTCATTGCTCTTGTTTAATGTATACAAGCGCATATAACAGTCGACGGTATACATCAAAATCAATAGTCGTGACGCCATTGGATGCATTCGATAGTCGAACACCGTGATGTTCTGATAGATTTAAGAGATGACAACGCACCAGCTAGCGCTTCTCTTTCTCCGGCGAGGCAACTCCGCTCTATTATCTCAGCCCTGCCCCACATAATCCAGTGGTATCCTACATCATTAAACTCGACCTCTTGGGACCCAACGCTTCGCCATCCCCAGCAATATCTCGCGCTGTCGTTCTGCTACCGCTGCAAACTTACTGATGATGTCTTGACATCTAATGTCGCTAGATTTAAAAGAATCTTCATCTCATCCGACAGAAAGATCGTTGATATTCCCAGCAAGACACTCCAAGAAAACCTCCGAGTGGTGACGGGGTCGGCTAGTTGAAGCCCGAGAGAGAGAGAGATTCCTTTCGAGAGCCATTAGTTTCCTTTGCAACGAAAAGCGATAGCTTTGACGATAGTCTCGGGGAGGGCTCCTCACCCCACATGGGTTCACGTGATGATTATATTAAGTGGATTGGAACCAACAAGTAGAACAATATTCAAATATCCTACGATTTTCCATGACTGAGCCCACACCAACCCGATGATTCCCTTCCTCACCTTGCTTAACGTGGTGGGCCCCTTAAGCCGTGGTCTGGGCTCTGGGTGCCAGCTACGAAATCAGCTAATCCAATCGGCATAAAGCCCAGTTTATTGCGCTAATCACACATTGCAAATATGTAATGGAAAATAACAAAGACTCAGAATATTAGCAATTATGGAGTAGTGAAGATTTTTTACAACATTCAGCGTCAAACAATTCATTTAATATATCTGAATTTGTACCTCCACTTGGAAGGTTTGGGCTATCATTCCTGATAGTCCCCCTCTGTGTAGTATCACCGCTTAAAACATGTTTAAAAAATATAAAAGAAAATTGATATTTATACCCTTTAAGACAATCAATGGATATGCCTACCCGGTTTAGTCCATTATTTGGTGTCGAATGAAATTTCATTCAATCCTTCAATTTATATTATAATGGATGGGCACACGAGGAAAATGGCAGGATCAAATGCCTCATGTGAATTGTAGACGTCAAACAAGTTTTTGATTGAAAAAATGCCCCATTTATAAAGTGCTCCAAGTGTATTTTTGGGAAATTTCGTCAACATTGGCCGTGTCATCTCATCGTACGAGCACATCAGCGCCGTTTGTCGGCTCACCACATTGTCTTCTCACGGGTTTGAAAAGATATAAAAATAAATCCAACAAAGTAGGGACGTCCATCCGAGTTGACCCCGCCTCAATCGGCACTTGCCGTGGGCCCTTGACCAGCCATGGGATCGAGTTCCGACAAAACGCTGAAGGAGTCCGCACGTGTCCCGCGGTGGGCGGTCTGAACCTCGCCGCCCGTGAAACCCGGGAGACGTCAAGCCTGTCGGACCTCCGCAGATCTACGACGGAAAGAAGAATAGCGGGCCCGGGCCCGAGTATAGGACCACGTGGCCTCCCATGACCAAAAATACTTTTAGAACATCAGATCAATTATCTGCCAGATGATGCGATTTACCCAATTGTTTGGTTTTCGTCTGCCCAATGTATTTGTAAAAAAGCATAACGTTGGATTAAACCGACGACCTCAACACTCATTTCATCAGTATTGGAATGGTTAAGATAACCTCACATTTGGGGATAATTAAAGTATGTCATTGCTGGTTTAATTTTAGAATGGGCACGAAAAGTGATTTTCATCTGGTTAAAATAAATCGCTCGTTACTTCCAAGAAGTCATGAAATAATGGTTTTGTAGGTTGTTATATACGAGAATGTTCTCATGCGTCGTATTTAACAAAATTTTGAGGTGATCTATACATCGGGTTGAAATTATAACAGTCTTGATTATTTGCAATAAAAGCAAGCATTCTGATCATAAGACTTAGGCCTACCGGAGTCAATATCCATCTTTTAGATTTTGATGCTCTAGTGATCCTAAAATTGCACGAGTCAATGGCTGTTATTGAGCTTCATCCACCTCAGTTATAGTCCACATGGGAACTTTTGAAATGTCAACTTAAAAGTGAGGAAGCGTCTCAATTACCATAAAAAGCAAAGTTGTGTAAATGAGGACCTACTTGGACTTAGAATAACGTCTAATTATAATAGTCAAGACAAATGTAAAGGGACAAGCTGTAATCGGAGGGAATGGGACCGGATGGTGATTGTCAGGCTTATGAGAGGCTTTTTTCTCGGAGCTCACGAGAAGAAGACAAGGAGATGAAGTCGATCCTGGGCTCAGAGTCCTGTTGGGCTATTCTTGTGGCCCGTTGAGATGACTGTTCGGGAAGAGCGGTAGAACAGGAGAGAAGCCCGGAAATGAAGAACGCCGCACAGATTCACACATGACGTAAGCATCATGATTCAGTTCCTCTCTCTCTCTCGCTCCTTTCGGGGAAGGGGTAGGGCGGGGACAATGAGTGAGGACGTTGATGGGGAGAGACTTGCCCATAACGAATGAGGGGAGACAAGGAGGAACCTTTATCCCATGCCTCCCCTTTCACGAAAACAATAGGCACAGGGGAAGGCGCATCACCGAACGTCGAAGATATCCTCGGGGGTAGCCCATTTACTTCATTCTACTGTGACCTGTGAAAGGAACCGGAAACCTTGCCTTCTCCCGGCCACAATGAGACTACAAGAGATGCAAATTCATACTTGATGGACTGCTTATCGTCATCGCCTCTGATCGTTTCCCATGCCAGGGAGCCTCTGAGACCCAAACCGAAGGAGTTAACCCCAGGCATCGTCGTCTTGCGACGTAGGCAAGAATTGAGACACAGATAAGAACCGAACGTAGAACTAGGGACGGTCATCTCCTTCCATTTAATCGGAGTCTATCACCTTCCCCTTTCCTGACGCATGCTCTTCCAACCGGTGAGAATGAAATTGAATCTTACGATCCAGCCGCCCAGTATTTGCCTTTGGAGTTGGAAGAACAGAGATGGGGACTTCGGAGGGACCTGTCTTTCGTCCCGTGGACACCATTTTTCCGCTGGTTGTTCACGTCGGTTTTGACCGAGGATGGGACGTGAACAGCTAGGGTTTTCGTGACACCGTCACCTACCTCGCTTCTTTTCCGACTTCTGCATTTTTCGTGGCTAAGGAACTCACCAAAAATCTCATAATCTTATAGCACCTCTATCATCGTCATCATCATTACAAAGATAATACTTTCCATCTCATTCTCAGGTGAGTCACTTCGCATCACATTAGCCCTAAGACTCTTACGATATCTAAATCTAAAGCCGGAGACTGTAATATTCCAACGGCGTCCAATCGCCAGCCACGGCGGACCCTCACTGAGTCACGCTGAAGCTTTCACATCATGAACTGGCGATTAGATGCCTGTTGTGGACTCCCGGCCAATGAAGGGGCAAGAGGATCCCTACTAGAACCCCGTAGAATCGGATATGGCGATTCCATCTCCATTTTTCTTTCTCCAAACATAGATCGTACAGGAAATGCCGACGCGGGCCACGAGTCGGGATTCGTCACTCGGCCTCTGACTCAAAAAGGCTTCCGAGTCTTTTCCCACGCCAAGACCTCTCGTGCCTTCCGAGATCTCATGGCACTGGTCATGGTGTTGGGCGGAGGAAAGCCCAATCTGCTTAAAGTCTCCGCTTTCTTCTCCCCTGACAGGAACATCTCCTCCATCCCGTTCTAGGAATAGCCATCATATCCCTGACAGAGAGAACTCCGGCAGCAAAGTCCAGAGTCCTGTGTTTGAATAAACAGATCTCCTTCGGAGATCCAACAGCGAGCTCTTATCAGTGCTACCAGGGATTCATCGAGGAGCTATATGGCATTTCCATTGTAGTTTAATACCTTGCCACATTAGTCTTCTCCCTCCGCTTGGGCTCTCTCCCTCCGAAGGGAATGTAATCCCCTCTAGCAATTTACATGGTGAGCATGCATAACCGTCATGGATTATTTTGCGTTCGTTATTGCAGAATAAAATACTTGGTTATATAGATCGGGCTACCAACATTGTTTTAAAGATAGTTCTGAATTGATTAACACAATGATTTTCATTATAATAGCATAGTTATAAAGTGGGCGCCAGAAAAAAGACAGTCTCCTAAGATGCTCCTCCGAGAGTTGTCGTGGACTGATGGGATGGTCAGTTGTTGGGTCATTGATGACTTGGATGCTTAATGAAATAGAGATTAGATACTTCGGCGGATGCGTAGTCTTAATTATTTCTGTGTAAACTAGACAATGATCCCTCGTGATCTTGCGGTTGAGACTAATAGCCGGCCCCTACTAATGGCAAAGCTCTCTTGAGGAGACAAGCTTCGAGTTTACTGTAGATCTCAAAATGAGGAAGCTTATCGTCCGGAGGTGATGGTCAATACAGAGCACCAGAGACTCAATAAAAGTCGTATTCTAGGAGAAACTGCATCTAAATTGAGATGTGCGACGTAAGCAATATCAAACCATGGTTCCCATCTCACGAGGAAGGGAGATCAAAGTAGTTCACAACCCTGAGTCAATACAAAGTCAGCGGACGATGGCCATCAGGGCTTCAGAGGGAACAAAAGCACAAGGGGTACAAACTTTAGACACGAAAATGGAGATTCAAGAACATCAAAGAGATAAGCATCACCGGACACGATAGAATGGTAAGAATCGTTATGTGTTATTCACGTTGATTACACCACGTGTGAATTAGAGGTTTGATGCGTAGATGAGACGTTAACGCGCGAAGCCAGGGGTGGGACGTCATCCAGAGAGAGGTTACAAGAAGTAGAGGATTTTAGGTGCAGCCATGCAAAGTTTGGCAAAGCCAAATTGCTCGTGCTAGTCACTGATGAACAGCGACTAGCTAATGAACAGGATAAGAGAGCATAAGAAGGTTGGCATCTGATCACAGAAGTTGAAGCTAAGCATACCCTAGTCGGAGATCCAAGTCCAGGTTCTCCTTAACAGCACTAGTTATTCCAATCTCCAAGTGAAGTCCTCCAGCTCCATTCTTCCTCTTCAGCACCTTACAAGTCGGATCCTTCCCAGAGAGATCCTTCTCCGCAGAAACTGCATAGTGTGCTTTCGCGATCTTTCGGTTCTTCGATTCCCGAGGATCTGAGGTGAAGGCTTCCGATGAAGACTTGTTCGAAGTGGATGCAGAGCGATGCGACAGAGAACAAATGGGGGAGGAAGACATGCGAGTGGCCGGGGGATCAACGTCTTCGTACGTGGCATCGGGCTCTCTGTTAAGGTTCAGTAGGAGAATACGGTTAGGATTTGGTTTAGGGTTAGGGATAGGGTTGGGGTTGGAGCACGGCGGCGGCTCCCAAGGGGGAGACTCTCTCAGCCTCGCCCGGTCCCGCCGGTGCACGTTCATGTGGCCGCCGAGCGCCTGAGCAGATCTGAACTCCCTCTTGCAGAAACTGCATGTGTAGGATCTCGGGGGCCATGAGAGCCCTAAAAAGAGGTTCCCAGGGGTGCAATCGCCGGCAGGCCCGCCGAGGCTGCCGTTTCTCCATGGTTCCTTGGGCATGGCGCTGTAGTTGCTGTTGCAGTACTCCTCTCTGATGCTCCCCTCCATGCTGATGCGCCCGCCTCCGCTCAGGCGACCCCCGAATGGAGAGACGGCAATGGAAATCGGATTCAAGTCAGCAGAAGAGTGGGAGGGGAGCTTCCTTGGATTTAACAGGGAGAGGGAGGGGCGCCCACCCACCTGGCCAGTATCATCGTCATCATCATAAGCAGGTGGGCGATTAAATTAAGGCCGTACTCCCGGCAGGGCAGTAAATGAGGTTTGCAGGAAGGCCCATCAGACCCTTTACCCCGAAACTGAAAATCCCATCCGGGGTACCCTCTGCAGATGTCTGTTTCCCTGCTCGTCTCCTGCTTAACGAATGTGTCGTCCCCCTTGGCCATCACTACTTCACCCTATTTCTGCTACTCTCTCTCTCTCTCTCCATCTCTTCGTGTACAAAGACACACTTGGGAAGAACGGATGTGACTGCCACCCATCTAGTTACAGAGGGTCCGCACGTGACGAGTGGGGGCTCCGTTGAGCCGGCGAAAAAGGGGCTCCGGCCACGAACGCGAGATTTGATGGCCATCGAATCCGCCATTGCCGACGATGATGGCTTCCCGCCGGAGAGACACCTTGCTACCTAGGAAGACCGTTCAGGGAATTGTCACGAGATTCTAGAGAGAGAGAGAGAGAGATTAATCTAAGACATTTTTACGGAGGTAGATGGCGAAGGTAGACAATCGAGAGACACCGTCGCTTACTAATTCAAGTTGGCCCGGTGCCGGCGGAGCTCCGAGAGCGTGGCAGGAGTTAACCCGGCAGAGATGGGGTTTTACTTCTTGCTCACTCCACATGATACCCAGGTAGCGCTGAGATCACATCCACAGAGGGCCGGTATCTTTTGCTCACCTCAGCTCCTCACAAGTACAGCTGGGTGGGGAGAGAGCAGACGATAAGAGGGAGGCTGTAGCACCTTCGTGTCACACTCAAAGCCCCCCGTCGGATTAGACCTCTCTCACTCCCTCTCCCAACACCCCCCCTTCTCTCTCTGCCTTTCTCGCCAAAAGGAACTGGTGTCAAGTACTCGATTTAGCGGACGATGAGGGTTTTCACTTGTCCTCCCCCGAGTAGCACAGGCTGGGAATCTCCCATGATTGGTTACTGTGTCTCGTCACCTGAAGGAGGGAGAGAGAGGTGGGGTTGGGGGGGAGGTGGGAGAAATGGAGAAAGTACAGCATTCCATATCAGTCAATTGAGTCCAACTGCACTTGGCCCAACTGGGGCAGACTTCTTCTGCTGGAGAAATACAAATCACATCACTCGGCGTGTCATTCAACGATCGACGGCACAGAAGGAAGTGGCAGCTCCTGCGCCGGCCGCTCCCTTAAGCAAGCAATCGTGCTCCATTGGCCAAACCCGACGGCATCCCCTCCGCCGCCCCCAGGAACCATTGCGGTGTCGCTCTTCCCTTGGATCGCCCGTCGATTAAACATGAGGAGATACTGAATCCAGACGACAATCTATTGGACTGAAACGCCGACTCTAACTCTATAGAAACTTCATGCTTCATTAGAGATCTAGAAATGGACACAATCATGGCCAGATAAGCCCCTGCGGAAATCCTGATCTTGTCACGGCAAAAAAATCCAATAGTTTGGTCCCATATTTATATATGTTCCGATATATTTAACAAAATAAAATCACTTGAATAATGGATATTTATGTGCAGACTGCTCTTGAGAATATACTCCGCATCCAGCAACAACACTGCCATGGTACAACCATGGAGGAAAAATTCTACTGAGGGGAACGTTTTAAAGAACCTGTATGCCCATTTCAATGAATGAAATGACGTTGACAAAAGTTCCCCAAACCCATCACAGAAAGATCCTCACGAAATATGACCAGCAAGGCTGCCGGAGATACTCTTAATTCGCAGCTGAGAACAGCTCACTTCCCTGCAACAAGAAAGAACTCTGAGGTATTCCGATTCAGGGGATTAGGGGGGCAAATATCTTCCACTTAAGGAAATAATAATGACAAAGATACCAACAGCATAGGATTTTGTTAGAGCGCAAACAATTCCGTTTATTTCTGCTTAAAATTTTGTGATGCCACGAGGCACATGACTCTCAAGCTCAAGATGTTATAATCCCAATAAACGGTCATCCAATCTGGCGGAAAAATGCCATATCTGCTCTTTCATGTCATCATATCTTATTAGACTGAGAGCAGGGGAGACCCCTGTTTCATGCTCCATCTCTCAGACTGAGGTGCCTGCAGGCATCCTGATGACAGAAGGGTTGCAAGATATCACCCAGCAGGTAAACAAACCCAAAAAGTGGAAATTTCGGGTTATTGGCGGGAAAAATATCATGTGACTGGTTCCTTCAACCAAACCAGAAAAGGTTGTATGATGCTGAAGTGTTGATTAGGGCCGTCATTTCCTAAGTGCAGATCATGAACAGTGTAGAGAGCACAATGTGCCAAATATTTCAAGAACTCCCCCTCCTATCATCCAAACACCTGCTGTTGCTCCCATCTGTACATGTTCCCGATCAAGATGGGTGATGGAAAACGACTGGTCTGATTTCAAGCTGTTTCTTTGGTTGTGTTCATGGGAAGCATAATTTCATTCTCTTCTTGATTACTGGGCGAAATGAAATCATTTCATCATGTAAAAAGTATGGAATTACGTCGATCGTTTATCTATGAACATGAGAAGAGTTTCCTGATCCCGAAAGGGAAAAACCTTTGGAGATAACCAGCGTTTACGTCGACGTTGATGGGAACAATCTGCCCTCTTCAGGTTCCATTAAGAATCTTCGTCACCCATTCCCTCTTATTGTCCAGTCCCGCCAGGTGCACCATGAAGTCCCCATCGGAGTAAGCTCCTGCCAACATGCCATGCACAGTCATCCGCATCACACCACGAATCAATGGGAATGGGGGGAGAGAGAGAGAGAGAGAGAGAGAGCAGTGAAGCACCTCTCCAGAAGGATCCAGGGGAGCGGAGAAGGCGGTAGAAGGACTTCCAGGTGAAGACCCAGGGGTAGGAGTTGAAGAGGCACTGCATCGGCGACACCCGGACGTGGCGGCGCCGCTCCTCTGCCGGTAATTCCCGTATGAGGTACTTCAAGGCGTCGTTGTCGCCGCTCTTCGTGGACCCGAACCGGATGAAGTCCGTCTGGTTCCACCAGGTCTGGAGGAATCCATCGCTCCACCTCGACCGTCTAACGAAGAACATTCCTGCGGTTAGCAGACGAGGAAGACGATTATGGGCGATCGTTTCCCGACGGTGGTTCTGCTTTTTCTGTATAATTACCCGCATTGAACCCGTTGAAATCTTCGGTGAGGATTAGGTCCGGCAAGTCGTCAAACTCAGCATCTCCGATCACCGTCCATAGGACGCTATCCTGAAAGTGCCCGATCTCCTTCTGTGTTCATTTGGGAGTAGAGAGAAAAAAAGAAGCCAAAGGACAGAACCCAAATCGTAACTATGAATCTCGTCCTCACCAGAGTGATCGAGAAATTGGTCACCAAGGAGTCCTGAGAAGAAAAAATAAAATCCGGTGAGAGCGAAGGAATTACGGACAAATCGGACTCAGAATTGAATTCCCTCCCCCCCAACTCCCCCCACTCTCTTCTTCTCCGATGAAATCGGAAAGGACATCTGAGTTTACGTACGGCGTCGTTCCAGAAGACCCAGTCGTAGTCGGGGAGGTGGCGCTGGATGGCCAGAATCTTGCTCCAGGAAGGTGGGCGGCGCCGGTCGACGATGTCCCCGGCGTCGTGGAAGTCGTAACCCCGAGCGGCCGAGTACTTCATCTTGTTCGACCTCACCGCATCCATCATCCCCAGGAAAGACCTCCCCCCGCCGCCGCGCTCGTCGGAGAAGCTCACCATCGCTATCCTCAGCCGCGGCCATGCAGGATTCCATCCGGCGGAGCACCGCCGCCCCAGGGCGTTGGCTCGGCGGAGCACGGCGGCGCAGACTAGGTAGGAGGCCAGGAGGAGAACGGCGGCGAAGACGGCGAGGAATCGCCATGGGCGCCGCCCGCACCACCTCCACCACCACCTCCGGGGGGGAGACCTTCGACGAGCCCGGCGATCCGACTGCCGGAGCATCCCGTTGACCTGCTCCTTGAGTTCCCTTCTTCCCCTCGCGACCGGCGGACATCGTTCGTCGCTCAGTGGATGACCCACCGACTACTACCTCCTTTCGGACAGTGGGGGTCCAGTTACCGCTCGGTGCGATAAATTTATCGTCGACTAGAAGTCCAGAACAGATTCGTATGGAAACCGGATTTACAAGGCGGAGTGAGCCCTAGGAGGTGACCATAATCACCTTGATGTCTAGACAAAAGCGAGGCATGTTGCCTCCTAGCTGGAGCCTCTCGAGTGGATATTCCCTCAACTCGCAAAATATGACGGGTGGCGTACATTGTGCGTGCACATCGAAATAGTTACAGGTTTTGAACCGATCTTCGGGCCTGGCCGGGCCGGTCGGTTGGACTGACCCTTTTGCCCGTACGGTTCAAACTCCCGCTGTCTGAATCAAGTCAGTTCCGAGAAGCAGTGACGAGCGCCGTCCGATTCCCAGGTGATCGTGGCAGTGATGAGAGTACTGGACGGTCCTGATCGGGCTGCCTTTTATATAATTTTCCTTATTTAAAGAATTGAATAAAAAAATAACCAACGCGAAGATTAAAGGGATGTTAACATAAATACTCAAACTCTGAGGGGAAAAATGCTCGAGGAGGGGTTGCAGCGGCTCCAACGATACCAGAAGACCCAAAACCCACCTCTCTCTCTCTCTTTCTCTCTCTCAGACAAGATCCTCGGGCATCAGGTCGATCTCTCTCTCTCTATCTCTCTCTCTCTCTCTCTCTCCCCTTCTTTCCTTGGTTAAACCCCGGTTTCATCGTCTTCGGTGCTCGGTGCTCGGTGTTCGGCAGCGGCATTCGTCGTCGCGATGAGGATCCGTAAGCATGCATCGAGGGTTATCTCCTCTCCATCGATTCCGAACCCATCTTGCGCTGGCGGATGTGCTGCTGCGGAGATGGCGGCGGCTTATGACCTGGAGATGAGTCTATGCGAGCTGAACCAGTCACCGTGGGACACGCTGCCTCCGACGCCCCCAGAGGGTGGCTCCGGCCATTACTTCCAGGTCAGATCTGATCGAGCTGGTCACCTCCTCTTCCGTTCTTCGATAGAATTAGTCGGAATTATAGGAATGCTTGACCCTCAAAGATTATTCCTCCCTAGGGTTCTTCTTTTTCCTGTTCCCCGCTCCGAAGAGGGGGGGAGGGGAGAGTTTCTCTTGCTAGGGTTTTACTTCTTCGGGACGGAGGAGCAGAATAAACCCAAAAAAAATTTCGATCCGATTGATCCGGTGCTTCCATTCCTTGCCGAACCGTTCTAGATTCATGCTTTATTTCCTTCTCTCCCCTGGCTTCTGTTTTTCGATATGAGGCTCTTATGTTTTGAATTTCGTCGCGATAGTAGAGCATTAGGGTTTGCGAGAAACTGCGGAAGATCGATTTGATCGTCGTCTGAATCCTGCAACGTTCACTGTGTCGTATTCCCGTCAGCTGGGGAGAAGCTCTTTCTCGAGAACTCCCCTATCCCATCCATTAGGGTTCGCACTTCGTCTTCACGTATTTCCCCCCTTGCTTCAACTCTTCCGCATGCGTCCGTTTCAGATGCTGCGCATGGAGGGAGAAGACGAGGAAGGGTCTATTTGGGGATCAACGGGGAGCGGACAAGGAGAGCTTCCTGCTGCCCCAGACGCCTTCAGGTGCCCAAAACTATTCTTCTTTCATTATGTACTCTCCCCCCTCCCCGGATTATCGACGGCATGAGAGGCTTCCAAGATCCCGGATTTCGGTACGAGAGATTGATATGAGCAAGTCGGCGACTGTACTCTCTCTTGGCAGTGTCTCCACGCCTGTGAAACCTGAGGAGACGAGTCTCCCGGAGAAGGTGGCCGGGAGGAGGACGACCAGCGGTAAGAAGATGTTCGGGAGGAAGAAAGCTCTCACTGCGAAGGAGGGATCGAAGGAGTGGGAGGTGAAAATAGAGGTGGAATCTGCAGCGAAGTCCTGCAACAAGAGCGACGGCAAGGGGTGGAGCTGCAAGCGAGATGCCCAACTTCCCTATTCTCTCTGCGATCACCACCTCGACCAAGTCCGATCATACATCCAGCGGCAGGCACCCGTCCAGGAGAAGAAGAAGAAGAAGAAGAAGAAGAAGAAGACGACGAAGAATAGGAAGAAGCAGCCGGAGAGAGAGAATTGCGGCGGAAAGAGCGATGCCGGGGAGAAAGCTAAGAGGACGAGGAAGCAGCCGTCGTCGGATTTCTACCACTACTACTACTACGGCTTCGGGCCGGGCCGGGGAAGGAGAAGAAGCGGCAAGGAACGGGGGACGACCGATGATGGTGGCTTGGTCAACGGTGTTGACGGCGGCGGCGGCAGCGGCGGCGCTGGTTTTCTTCGCGATCGTCCCGCCCGGTGGCTGGGTGACGACGACGACGATGACGTAGTCGGCGATCTGGGTGAAGAGTGCGACGTTGATGACGTCATCGAGATAAAGAGGAAGGGGAGGAAGCCCATGAAAGCCCGCTCCCTCAAGTCTCTTCTGTGACTCATCGATCCGGCGCGCCGCACGTGACCTTTTTGGTCAGAGGAGATAGTTGAGGTATCCGTTGACTAGCCAAAGACGGCGAGGCTATCTAATTTTGACGGGCTTGCAACTTCTGACTTTGGAATGAGGGCCATTGGGTTTCTCAGGCCCATCCACCCGGCCCGGCAGCTGCCGTCTGGGCGAGGTTGAAGGTCTTCATTTCCTGGCCGTGGACACCTCCGCAGAGTCCACGTGGCCGTGGACCCCCCCAATTGAAATGTAGGTAATTCGCGACTTCAAGAATCTAAAACGTTCACTGCTTGGTGAGACTCAAAGCCTGAGATAGAAGAATTCTCTCTCTCTCTCTCCGAAGAAAGAAAGAAAGAAAGAAAGAGGATGGTCGACAACGAACAGGCTTTCGGGGAGAGAGAGAGAGAGAGAGACACACACACACACACACAGAGGGAGAGAACAGGACAGAGGATGAGGCCCAAGCTGTCTACTCTTAAAGTTATCAAATTTACGAAAGGGCCTCCAGCTCGATCTATAACTGCGGCGATGATAGGGAGGAACTGAGCGGGAAATATGGCCCCCAGGGATTTTTTAGACTCTTAATGGTTCACGGAGGACGAGGACGCCGGAGAGTGGTAGGACGCCAGCGAGTGGGAGGCGACGTGGACGATTCTCGATCGGTTCTCCCACCAACACTCCCAACTACCCCCTCCCCCCGGTACACCGCCTAGTGGGCCGATCGAATCGTACGTGACTCTGTGAGGCTTGGCGGCTGACGGTCCACGTGATAACCCCCGGCCATTCGGCCGTAGAGAGACTACTCCAGCAGCTGTGAAGTTGCTCCGGGAAGTAGCTCCGAATTTTACATTTATAGGTAGAGATTGAAGAATCAGGAGGGTGAGTGTGGTGCCAATCGACGGAGTAGGGGGGGAGAGAGAGAGAGAGAGAGGGCGCCCACGGAGCTGCAGGTCTAGGCGGCGATGGAGGCGCCGCTGCTGCAGGCGGGGGGCGGGGGTGCGGATGATTGGGAGGGGGACTGCCCGCCGGTGAAGGGGTGGAGGGACGCATGGAATGTATATGTGGAGGAGTCGAAGAAGTTGTGGTGGATCGCGGCGCCCATCGTCTTCAACATCCTCTGCCTCTACGGAGTCAACTCGGTGACGCAGATATTCGTCGGGCACCTCGGCAACCTGGAGCTCTCCGCCGTCGCCATTGCCCTCTCCGTCATCTCCAACTTCTCCTTCGGATTCCTCGTAAATCCCCACCTCCCCTCTCCCTCTCTCCTCTCTCTCTCTCTCTCTCTCTCTGGGGAGGGTCTTGGAGATCTTTTCCTGCTTGGGTTGAAACTAACCTGCTGCTGCTGTATGTTGTAGCTGGGGATGGGCAGCGCGCTAGAGACACTGTGCGGGCAGGCGTTCGGCGCGGGGCAGGTGAGGATGCTGGGCATCTACTTGCAGCGGTCGTGGATCATCCTCATCTTCTCCTGCTTCATCCTCTGCCCCATCTACGTCTTCGCCACCCCCATCCTGAAGCTCCTGGGACAGCGGGACGACATCGCCGAGCTCGCCGGCCGCTTCGCCCTCTGGATCATTCCCCAGATGTTCGCCAACGCCATCAATTTCCCCGTGCAGAAGTTCCTCCAAGCCCAGAGAAAGGTCACCGTGCTGGCCTGGATCGGCTTCATTGGCCTGGTGGCGCATGTGATCATGCTCTGGGTGTTCCTCTTCGTCCTCGACTGGGGGCTCTTGGGCGCCGCCGTCGCCTGTAACCTCACAAGGTGGATCATCTCCCTCGCCCAAGTGGCCTACGTTGTCGGCTGGTGCAAGGACGCATGGACCGGTTTATCCTCCGCCGCCTTCAAAAATCTCTGGGCCTTCGTCAAGCTCTCTCTCGCCTCCGCCGTCATGCTCTGCCTCGAGATCTGGTACCTCATGGTCCTCGTCGTCCTCACCGGTGGCCTCCAGAACGCAGAGATTGCTGTCGACTCCATCTCCATCTGGTCTCAAAAATCTCCCCCTTCCAGCCGCACCGTACACCGACGTGACCTTCTCTGTCTTTTCTAACCCTTTCTCTCTGTCTTTGCAGCATGAACATCAACGGCTGGGAGATCATCTTCTTCATCGGAGTCAACGCCGCGGTCAGGTAAAGCGCCGCCCATGCTTGACCGCCTTCTGGGTCGCGGCGAGTTGACACACCGACTCTCATCTTTTCCAGCGTCCGGGTCTCGAACGAGTTGGGCTCGGGCCGCCCGAGGGCCACCAAGCACGCGGTCATGGCGATTATCGTCACCTCGTTAGTGATCGGACTCGTCTGCATGGGTGGCATCCTCGGCCTGCGGGATCACTTCGCCGTCATCTTCACCAGCGACGGGGAGCTCCAGCGCGCCGTTGCCAACGTGGCCTACCTCCTGGCCGTAACAATGGTCCTCAACAGCGTTCAGCCCGTTATCTCAGGTACCAATGGGCCGGGCCCAATTGTGAGTTCATTCAGGGCCAAGTGTTTTCCTTCGTTGTGGGCCTAAAATCCTTACTTCGCAGGTGTCGCCGTGGGAGGGGGCTGGCAGGCCTTGGTAGCCTACATCAATCTGGGCTGCTACTACGTTTTTGGCCTCCCTCTGGGCGTCGCTTTCGGATACTGGTTCCACTGGGGAGTGAAGGCAAGGGACCACCCCGCGCTGTGTCCTACTGGGCTTTTATTCTTTTTGGGGCCTTCTAATGGGCTTCAATTGTGCAGGGTATATGGGCCGGCATGCTCTGTGGAACGACGGCCCAAACGCTGGCCCTACTGGCGGTGATCTGGAAGACCAACTGGAACGCCGAGGTAACTAAACTAGTAACTTTTGGGCGACTTACATTGATCGCACATGGGAGAGCGGGGCCCTGACGTGGAGGTTTCTGATGTGTTGCAGGCCGCACAAGCATCGACACGTGTGCAGAAGTGGGGTGGAGCCCAGAATGGTAACGGCAGGGTGGAGGGGTGAATGGTGAAGGCCACCCGCGCCACGCAGAAGAGGCTATGATTTTCGCACGCGCAAGTCCCACGTGTGATATTTTTCAGGGCACGTGCCATCTAATCAGATTCTGCCCTTTCTGGTGCTGATTCCCTCATATCTTTTACATCATTTTGTCAACGGGTGGGAACCCTGCCAGACCGCTGGTGCTGACTGGTCAAGCTCAGCCTTTCTTGATTGGCCCAAATTAGAGTCTAATGCTGACGCGTACGTATGGAGACTGCTAAGTACCGCCCGTTGCAGACTGGTAAGTACTGCACACGTACGGAGAAGGCTGCAGCCAGCACGTGGCATATCTATGAGCGCCTGCTCTCTCTCTCTCCAATCCTCAACTAGAACCTAAACCAGTGGAAGAACATCTTCCTCAGTTCATCCGCTTCTTGATTACTGGATGAAATGAAAGCATTTCATCACATTTATCTATGAACATGAGAAGAGCTTGGTCGCAAGGACCCCCATGCTCCTAGTTGGAGCTTTATCTCCATTGTCATCCTGACTATCCATTGCATGTTGCTGTCATTATGTTGGGACCATAGCCACCCGCTTTCACCCACATGGACAAAGATCTCTTGTGATATGGTCCAATCATCTCAACAGTTGACTAGTGGGTCAAGTTTGTGGCTATAACTCATAATTGGCCTAAGAGTGTGATAAGTCTTTATTATCATGAGTTAATAATTAGTAAATAATATAATTTTAGCCTTAACTCATGATAAATAGATTTATATGTGTTAAATTATGAAAAGTGATTTTTAATTAATTAATATGAATTTTTAGCTAATTATGTGATTTTTTCTGAATTTATATAATTTTTATAGTCTTATTTTTAAGATAAATAAAGAAAAAAAATTAAAATTAAAATATAACAAAATGGGGGGACCCGTCGGCCAACTGAGCTTGCAAGCTGGTCAAAAGCGTGGTCAAAGGGAGCCACGAGTAGGGGGCTTAAGCAGCTAGGACTGATGGGGGTAGGCGTGCAGCACTCTCATTCCACGTCATCGGTGGCCAGTTGGTTGTGGGGCAAAGAGTTGTCGTACACGTGGGAGAAAGAGACTCATTGCTTGAAAATGTGATAATAGTATTTATTTATTTAAAACTTCAGTGTACAAGTGATGTGGGACTAATTCCACATCACACCTTCTCTTAAAAAGCTTTGAAGGCGAGAAATTGGTATGGGTTTAAATCATTCTAGAGTCAAAACTCGTATTTTTATCTAATTATCGTGACTTTCTTGCAGATCATCAATGAAGGATTAAGCCGCCAGAATCGCTGGATCATCGGCGAAAATCTCGTCAATGTAATTTGTAGAGTATTGTTACTAAAATTGTTGAATGATTTGTGATAAAAAGGTCACAAATTCATTGAGTAGATGATCTCTAATTGATTGACGAACAAGCCATCGTTAGGAAGAGGACGATTCGCTAGGTGATGAGTCGCAACCTCTTGAAAGTGTATCAGATGTGATGAAGAGCCTCCTCTTGCTGTGCGGACCTGAGGATGAAGCTCCATAACATGCACCTACCTCCATCTAACTCTTCTTCATGAGGTGACAGCCGTCGAAGAGTCGCAAAGTCACTATTTTTTTATTTCGTCGAGTGACAACTACCGGAGACGATTTGATGACTCATTTTATTTATCTCTAGATTTTACAAGGAGATCTAGAGATTACTCATATCGTCTTTGTCCAAAGAGAACCTTCGAAGTCATGGACACTACTAAATAATCCTCTTGAATACTTAGGATTCTAGTGCATCATCAATACATCACCACTGCGATGCTAGAATTATGTTTTCCTACTTTCAACCTAATTTTTACTTTATTTAGTGATAATTTATGTGATTTAAATTTACCAAGTTATATTTCATTCAATTAAGATTTTTTTGACTTTTATAATTTTTAATTTAATCAATTAAATCATCTATAATTACTTATGTAAGAATCACTAGGTGGAACTCTATTTTCGTTTGATTCATGTTCATCAAGCATTGACATCATCCTACCGTTCACACCATTATTTCCCTTTTTCATAAATTTTAAATATATTTTATTTTTATTTCATAATATTAAATTTTTAAAAAATCATAATATTTGAGAAAATTTTAAAGATATTACCCAATATTATATTACATCTCTATGATTGACTAAAACATTATCATTATTTTTTAAAGTTTTATTGAATTATAATTGATATATTTATTCAAAAATACTTCTAAATATCTAAAAATTAGTATTTTCTAGTTTTATAAATTTTAAATTTACGTGATTTACTATACAATGACTAAGTCATGTTAGAGCAGACATGATCAATTGACTAATCTAAAATGAAGGGGATGAAAGTAATGATCGAGACAAGAAGAAATGGTCAAGTAGCACATAGACAACAACAAGACCATTAGAGTATAGAAAAAGACGATTAGTGTCTATAAGAAGCAGTTGAAGAGAGAGGAAAGCGAATGAAAGCTTCATCAACTTTCTCGTGAGAAAAAGGGAGAGTGGCTCCCTTTAGTTATCTTATATTGTCTTCTTCAGCCAACCAAGGGGTTTTGGAGAGGCTCCCTCTAGTTATCTTATATTGTCTCTCCATTTATCCTTGTTTTCTCTCTTGTACCCCATAACTCTCAATCATAAGCATTCTTATGTGTTCCTCCACACTTTATTTGTAGAGGTTTGAGTAGAATTTATTTAATTTTCTCTTTTATTTTTTCTTTTCTCCTAACTTGAATTTGGGTACTGATGAACTCGATTTAGAGGTTAAATATGCCATTGTGATGTAGCCAAGTTCATACAAATAATATTTATACAACCTCACCCTTTAGTTTATGATAAGTAAGGGTCGATCCATAGGGAGTGATTGCTCTTAAATTGCTATTATTAAGATCGTCAATTTTAAATTTATAAACTAATTTTTGTGGGAATAATTTTTTAATGAATTAGTGGAAAATCAGGTTGAACACAAAGAGAGTTTTGAATTAGTTGATGTATATTAATTAATAATCATATTCTGATTTATTTACTCTTTGAAATTCAGCAGCCACAAACATAGAAATTATGGAGAGGAAGAAATTCAGAACCAAGTCAATACATGTTGAGAAAAAGATTTCTCTCAAGGTTCCACCAGTCACCTCGTAAAGAAATTATGGATGGCTAGTAGGGATGGTTCCTTGCTTCCTTCAATGACATCGACTATTCAAAATCGAAGAGGTAAAGGGGAATAGAACTTCATTAAATTCAGATTGCATTAACTAGAATAAAAGAGATTTAATTACATAAAAGTCTAGAAACAAAATGAAAATGATTTCTCCCTCTTGTTTTGACGGATGTGGGGAGAGGATGGCGGCCTCATGCAGGGGCATCTTTGGTTGATCCTCTTCTTATTGCGCCAAGAGAGGAGACGCATGATTGCTGCTAGTACTATCACCACCAAAAGGGGGGGGAGTGGATGAGTTGGCCCACCTATGGTGTGTGCATGTGGCACCAAGGGAGAGAGGAGTAGTAGGCTGTCGCCACAGTAAGAGAGGGACGTGCCAAAGGAGAGAGAAGGGAGGAATGAGAGGACTGATTGTGAATGAGGGTCCCAGCTAGTGGCCCTCTTTTGGACTCATATGCCCTATTGTAGGCATTCCCCTTATGCCCCTCTTAATTTGCAAAAATAACAAGTCAATTTTACAATTTTACCTTTTCATGTTCACTAATTATTCAATCATCCATGATGAAATAGAATATATATATGCTCAGGCTCATGCATCATGGTTATCCATTAATCTTCTTCCCTCCAACAACTATTAATCATATATTTCTTCTCTCATTTATTTTGATGCTCTCATCCTAGTAGACAATAGAAAAATGATTCAATTCATAAACCATCATATGAAAATACATAAGTAGAGTATTAAATATATACTCATCATATTCCTATATACTTAGGCTTAAAGTAATAATCTTCTCACCCCTTTAGTATGATGATTGCTCAAATTATCACAACCAACCACTTAAACATTGCTAGTCCTTTAGCAATATATCAGGAATGTGCTATATATCAACAAACACTCTCAAGGTTAACTCTTTTGATTACTGTCTCCTTGAGTATTGATAATTCTGCAAATTTCAAGTTTTCAGAATCAAGACTCAAAAAGATTTTCAAATCCATATTTGAATCCCTATTTTAGGCACATATTAGTCACTTTGTTTTCCTTGTTCATCCTTTCTCCATCTATTAATAAGACTTGTTTGCTCTTTGATCTTGATCTAGCTTCATGCTCTCCTTCAGCTAACATGATACAAAGTAATTATTGGTCTAGTGTTCACATGACTTGATATCCATTATAGGTAAATATCCCCATCAACACCTAAATTGCAGTATGATGGTGAATTCCTTGTCCTAGTCTCACATGTGGAATCCCCATGGGACAAGTTGGAAATCCCATTTCACCATCACTACCCTCTTTGTTACTATTATTTAATTCTAGATTATTTCTAAGAGAGATCTTTGCTCTAGTCGCAAATATGGAAGCCCTATGGAGCAAATGGGAAGCCCCCCCTCTCTCTCTCTATATATATATATACACGGAGATATTTGCTCGAATTGCACATGTGAAAGCCCCATGGAGCAAATGGGAAACCCCTACTCCAAATAAAGTTTTTTTTTTTTTTAGGAGTTCAATCTACATGCAAGGATCATCATTTCCCACTTTTCCTTTAGTTGACTTGCATTATGTACAAAAAATTAGGAAGGGAGCATTTCTCCCTTTTCTTTCACAACAAGCATCCAAGATCATAACTTCAAGATTATAGATTTGCAATATCTAGTCCATGATTTTTTTGTGCCCTTAAAAGGTTCTCCTACTTCTCATCAAAACTCTTGTTCATCTTGATCATTACACTATTCATTATGCATTCTTAATCAAATACTTAAGTTGATTTCATCAAAGTAGTGTATTTTGTATTTTACTTATCTCACTCATCCCCCCTATTAATCCTCATCATTATTTGCAGTGATTGAATAATAAATGTAGATAAAAATTCAAAAGAATGCAAATGATGTAGGACGGGATAAGAACCCTTGTACCTGATCAATAAAACTTGAGACTCGAGATGGGGCAGTCGGACCGATCCAATAAAAATGTTTGGACCCTAGACTCTAGGTCTGGCCACATAACTTAAGTACATGCAGGCATACTAATATGCAAAATCAACCCAAGACAACTCGGGGAAACACTCGACAATAGTAAGGCGAGGCCTCTCAGTCCATGTCTGGGCAGATGGCGGAATTGTCGTTGTGAAGTAGCCTAGGGCTGCAGCTCACAAACAGTGACGAGTTTGGTACAACGTCAAAAGTCACGATCCGATAACTTGTCATATTTTGTCTACGTGCTCCTGATGGCGGTGGAAATGAGCTGAGAAAATCCTTTGAAAGATAATTAAACTTAAGTAAGAAGGGGTATGGAGCTAACCTTCGGGGCTGAGTAGCCTGGTAGGTCGTGACGAAGCAGAGATTTGATGTAGGCAAAAATGTTCAATGAAGAGCGATGCTCAGCATTGATGGTCGGTCATAGTCGAGAGTCACCGTAGTCATTGTCGTAAGGGGTGGCACAGTCAGCGCAGGTGTGGGCCCGCTGGTGGGCTGAAGGGCATGCTAGTGGGTGTGGGCCCGATGGTGGGCCGAAGGGCATGCTAGCGGGCGTGGGCCCACTTGTGGGCCGAAGGGCACACTAGCGAGCGTGCACAGCAAGCCGCGTGGCGGCCTTAGGGCATGCGGGCGACGGCGCCGGGTGGGTGCGCGGGCTGCAGGAGCCGGCGCACAGGGCACGCGCAGCAGGGGTGCTTCGGCGGGAATGCCGAATGTTAGCGGTGCTTTGGCGGGAAGGTCAAGCATCAGTGGCGCTTCGGCGGGAAGGCTGAGTGTTAGCGGTGCTTCGACAGGAAGACCGAGCGTCAGTGGCGTTTCGCCGGAAATGCCGAACGTCAGCGGCGCTTCGACGGGAAGGCCGAGCATCAGCGATACTTCGGCGGGAAGGCTGAACGTCAGCGGTTGGGCAGAGACCCAATCGTCGCCAGAAGGATCGGCCCTCTCTGGTGGCGCCGGGAAGTGGAGCAGAGGAAGGAGACGATCCGGCCGACGATACTAGGGAGGGTTGAGCTCTCTTGGTCTAAGCGGCGCTGGAAACGGCGCGACGGCAGCAGAGTGTCAGGAAACTCTAGCGGGGGCCTGTGAGGAGCTCAGACTAGTTCTGGCTCGTCGGCATGGCTGCAGGGTCTCTCCTGCTGTCGGTGGCAGGTTGGCGTTCGTCGGCGAACGGCCAGCGATTGGGTGGAGCGGCAGAGGGCAGCCCCGGCGAGTTTGGGGTGGAGTTCCGAAGGAAGAGGCGGCAGTCGAACCAGGAGTCGAGAGACTCCGGCGGAGTGCTCGGTGACTGCTCGTAGGGAGGCGAAGCGAGCCCCTTTCGTCACGACGGCGTGATGGGTTTCCAGCAGAGGCGGTGGCGGTGGCAGCGGCAACCATGACCGTTTCGTCTGGTGACGGTGGCGAACTCCCGGGCGGCAATGAGATGGCTGGTGGCGGCAGTGGTCTCAAGCGGCGGCAGGACTTTGCGGGCAGCAGCGTCATGAGGAACGAAGTCCTCGAAGGGGGTATCGACGGCCTTCCTCTTCCTCCCCTCCCTATCACGGAGAAGGTACTCACAAACGATAATTTCTCTAAAAAATACGGCGCTCCCTTGAGGGGGGGTTCTACCTCCCCTTATATGGGGCCCACAAGTGGGCTAATGGGAGGTGGGCCCACTTGAGGCCCTCAAGCCCATAAGCCACAAAAGGCTTCGAAAGGGGCTTATTGGGCCTTTTAAAGAGAGACCTAATAAGCTCCCCTAAAAGGAGAAAGAGGAGGGCCCTCTTATAGTGCATAAGTTGGCCTCAAATGAAGACCCAAATAAGTCTCAAAAGAGTCCCAAAAGGAAAGACACATAGGTCCCCCCCCCCTTAGGGTTTTAATTGGGTCTCAAAAGAGAGACCCAATAAAACCTTAAAGAAAGGGAGACACAAACAACAACACACACATAGAATTGGGCCTGTTAAAACACAAACACGAGGCCCAACAAGTCAATGTGAAAATATAAAGAAAGATACAAGTGAGCTCGAGCTTGTCGTCGTCGCGGGGGTAGAATGTTGTTGTCTCGAAGGGTAGGCCATGTAGTGAAAGCTAGGCTCCTTCGTCTTCATGTGTCGATTTGGCTGAACTCAGACTACTAGTGTCTCCTGAGCTAATGGAGATAGGTCCCACTTGCCATCAACAAGCTAGAAAGAACACAATCAAGATTAGTGGATAAGGGTATGAAAACTAATAAATTTAGGTGGTGTGGAAGCTCAGTCACCTATTAGTCTCTTCTGCCCAACCAACGTTCTTCACAATTGATTCAACTAGGAAATGTAAGTTTGATTGCAAAAACTAAACACTAAATAAAAGAAGAACTAGAATAAAATACAAACGACAATAAGCAAATGAAGTAAAAATAGTGGGATTGTCTCCTTAGTGGCGTTAAGTTTAATGCCATTAGCTAGACACCATACAACTTATGATATGTTCTATAAATTAGTTTTATCTACCTTTCTCTTGTCATTATGCTCAAGATATGCTTTAATTCGCTGCCCATTCACTTTAAAACAGTGGTTAGATCCTGAATCTCTAAGTGTGGCTACCCCATATTCATTATATGGCCGATCCCATCTACTCAATTTTTCAGAAAATAATTTTAACTTTGAATTGTATAACCATACCTTTTGACCTAGTGAAAATTGCCGCCTAGTTATGTGCTTGTCATGAAATGCTTTAGTCTTTGTTTTATAGATCCTTGTATTTTCATATGCTTCATTCCTCAGCTTATCCAATTCCTATAGATCAAGAAATTGTTTTTCTCCAACTACTACCATGTCTATGTTGATTTGCTTGATAGCCCAATACACCCTATGCTCCATCTCCACGAGTAAGTGGCATGTTGGTGTGCACTTGTCATTGTGTTTAAATACACACTATCCAATAATATTTATAACTAAGACTTAATAAAATATTAGTATAAAAGTAAGTCTCAAGTTGAACATAAGAATGATTAATCCATCATGAAAACTAACTTAATTTATATATAAAGTGATTTTAATATTTTATTAATACTTAACATAAATAAAAAAAATAGAAGGGTGAGGTGAGAAGAATAAAGGAAGGGATGTAGAGAAAAGGAAGAAGGAAAAGAGAGAGAGAAGAGAGGTCTCATGAGAGAAGGAGAGAGAGAAATAAGACGAAAATGAAGGAAGAGAGAAATACAATCAACCTATTTTTTCAAACGAATGTGTGCTTGAAGATTCACACACATGACATGAGGTCAATTGTGAATGTCTCCAACTTGTTTTAACCATTGAATGCTCATTAGTCAACCTTTAATCTTGGTGGTTTCATGTTCGAAAATAGAAAAATACTTGTTATTCGTAGAACGCTGGGAACGTGAATATGTTGAGATTTGACTACGAAAAGTAATAGAAAATAAGTTAGAAATGATCTTAGCTTGATCCTAGACTAGTTTTAGAAGATTTCGAAAAAGAACAAAGATTATTCATCAAGTTTTGAATTAGTTCTACTCATTTCAATCGAAACATGTATGAAATGGAAATAGCTTGTTGTAAAATATAAATAAATAACAAAAATAGGTAAGTAAATGCTAAAAGTAGAAAATAAATCATTGCCCAAGTTTAGTTTGTCTCATGGGCAATTGGAGACACCAGTGTGGCAACTTGGTTTCGTCTGGTCGTGCCACACCATGCTAGAAGTTATAGAAGTATTGTTCGAATGCATTGCATCTTGCTGGAGTGATCCATCAAAAGAGGGGTTGAACATACGGTCACTATCGTTTGAGGGGAGAAGGGAAGAGCTGACCACTTGCCAAAGGCCTTGAGTGTAGTTAGGGGAGGAAGGAAGAAGCTTGCTGATCACCGAAGATGTCGATTGCACAAAATAAGGGAAGAATGGATTCTCATATTTGTGACTACTATTGAGATTTTAAAAATAATCGATAATGTCTATTTAACTAGATAATAGTTAATTATTATCTTTATATCCCTAACAGTGATATGTGTGAGAACTTGAGTTCCCAGTATTGTAGTGCTTCTTGAGCCACTGGATGAGATATGCTTGGTCACGTAGCCCACTAAGTGATGCAAGATCAACCTGCCGCAAATTGTTGCCGATCAAGAACTTAAGTTCCTAGTACTGTGGCACCGCCTTAACCCTCGAATCAGCCTTATGTTCTAAATTTTTCTAATGCAAACACCACTACCAATAATTCTTTTTAAGTGGTAGTGTAATTCAATTGTGCATCTATAATAGTCTTGCTAGCATAATAAATGACCACATGTTTATTATTTATCTACTGCCCTAAGACTGCACCAATTTCAAAATTAGATGCATCACACATTTTTGAAATTGCATGGACCAATTTGGTGTTTGAATGATTGGTGCTTCTGTCAAGACTATCTTAAGAGTCATAAATGAATTAACACATACTTCATCAAAATGAAATGAACTTTCCTTAGATAACAAAGATGTCAATGATCTAGCTAATTTATAGAAATTCTTAATAAATTGTCAATAGAACTTGATAAGTCTTTGTTATCATGAGTTAATAATCAATAAATAATATAGTTTTAGCTTTAACTCATGATAAATAGACATATATTTGTGTTAAAGTGCAAAAAGTGGTTTTCAGTTGATTAACGTTAATTTTTTGGTAATTATAGGATTTTATATGAATTTATATGATTTTTATAATCTTAATTTTGAGATAAATGAAGAAAAAGAAATACAAATAAAAATATAGTAAAATGGGGGGGGACCTATTGGCCAGCTAGGCCTTCAAGCGGGTCAGAAGTACAGTCAGGGAGGAGCCGTGAGTAGGGGCTCAAGCAGCTAAGACCAATAAGGGCACGTGTGTGCCTCACTCCCCTTCCATGTCAGTGGTGGCCAGCTAGCTATGATGCAATGAGTGGTCGTACACGCGCAAGAAAGGGATTTGATTGCAAATGTAATATTACTATATATTCACTAGAAACTTTGATGCACAAGCGATGTGAGACTAAACTCGCGTCACACCTTCCCCAAAAAGGGCGGGGCAACTAGCATAGGTTCAAATCCTCATAGAGCCAAAACTCATATTTTTTATCTAATTATCGTGACTTTCGTGTAAATCACTGGTGAAGGATGAAGCCACTAGAATCATTGGATCATCGGCAAAAATCTCGTCAATACGATTCGTGGAGCATTGTTACTAAAATTGCTAAACAATTTGCGATAAAAGGATTACGAATCCATTGAGTAAAACATCTCCAATTGATCGACAAACAAGTCATTATCGGAAAGAGGACAATCCACCGATTGACGAGTTGTCACCTCTTGAGAGCATATTGGATGTAATGAAGAACTCCTCTTGCTACGTGGACTTGAGGATGAAGCTCTTTGACATACGCCCTACCTCCATCTAGCTCTTCTTCATCGGGTGACAACTACCAAAGAGCCCCAAAGTCGTTGTTTTTCCACTCTACTAGGTGACAACTACCGAAGACGATTTGACGACATGGGTAAGGAGAGCCTTTGAGGCTGTGTATATTGCACGACGACAATCCTTTCAAATGCTCAAGACTTTGGTGCATTATTGATGCATCATTATTGTGACGCCGGAACTCTATTTTCTTACTTTCAACTTAATTTCCACTTCATTTAGTCGTAACTTGTTGATTTTAAATTTACTAAGCTATAATTCATTCAATTATAATTCTTTCGACTTTTACCGATCTTCATTTGATCAATTAAATCATATGTAATCACTTACGTAAAAATTGTCGAGTGGAACTCTATTTCTACCTGATTCACATTTGTCGGGCACTGACATTGTCTTGACATTCGCATCCTTATTTTCCTTTTTTATAAATTTTAAATATATTTTAATTTTATTTCTTAGTATAAAATTTATAGAAAATAGTATTATTTGAGGAAAATTATGAGTAATTACCTGATATTATATTACATCCTTGTGATGGACCTGAAAAATTATCGCTATTTTTGAAAATTATACTAAATTATAATTGATATATTTGTTCAGAAATACTTCTAAATATTTGAAAATTTATATTTTCTAGTTTTATAAATTTTAAATTTACATGATTTACTATACAACGACTAAGTCACATCAAAACCCAACATGTTAATGAAATGCTCTAATTTGTTTAACTAATTGTGGTGGACGTAGATTCACAATAGCATCAATCTTTACTTTATCCACCTCAATCTATCTCTCAATAATAATGTGTCTTAGGACTATTCCTTGCACCATGAAATGACTCATTTTCCAACTTAAAACTAAGTTATTTTCCTCACAGTATCTAAGTACTTGATAAGTCTTCATTATCATGAGTTGATAATTCGTAAATAATATAGTTTTAGTCTTAACTCATGATAAATAGACTTTTATTTATATTTAAATTATGAAAAGTGATTTTCAGTTGATTAACATGAATTCTTTGGCCATTTTTAGTTAATTGTGAAAATAGTCTTATTTTTGAGATAAATGAAGAAAAAAGTTAAAATTAAAATATAACAAAATGGAGGGACCTATTGGCTAGCTGGGTTTGCAAACTAATCGGAAGCATAGTCAGGGGAGCCACAAGTAAGGGCTCAAGCAGCTAGGACCGATTGATGCAGGATGGGGTGAGAACCCCCTATACCTGATCAATGAAACTTGAGTCCTGAGATGGGGCAGTTGAACCGATCTAATAAGAATGTTTAGACCCTAGACTTTAGATCTGACCACGTAACCTAAGCACATGTAGGCGTACCAATATGCGTGATTATCCCAAGACAACTCAGGGAAACACTCAACGATGGTGAGTGAGAGGCCCTCTTGGTCCACATCTAGACAGACGGTAGAACTGTCATTGTGAAGTAGCCTAGGGCTACAGTTCACGAATTGTGATGAGTCTGGCACAGCATCGGAAGTCACGATCTGATAACCTATCCTATCCTATCTACGTGTTCCTGAAGGTGGTAGAAACGAGCCGAGAAAACCCTTCAAAAGATAATTAAACTTAAGTAAGAAGGGGTACAGAGCTAACCTTCAGGGCTGCATAGCCTGGCGAGTCGTGATGGAGCGGAGATCCAAAGAAGGCAAGGACGTCTGGTGAATAGCGATGCTCAGCGTCGACGGTCAGTCCTGGTTGAGAGTCACGGAAGTCGTCGTCTTAGGGCGTGGCACAAGCGGCGTGGGCGTGGGCCTACAGGTGGGCCAAAGGGCACACTAGTAGGTGTGGGCCCACTGGTGGGCCAAAAGGGCTCGCTAGCAGGCGTGCACGGCAAGTCGCGTGGCGTGCCCTAGGGCACACGGGCAGTGGCGCCGAGTGGTCGCGCAAGCCGCAAGAGCCGACACGCGGGGTGCACGCGGCGGCAGCACTTCGGCAAGAAGGCCGAGCGTCAGCGGCGCTTCGGCGTGAGTGCCGAGCATCGACGTTCAGCGGGAAGGCCGAGCGTCAGCGGCACTTCGGCAGGAATGCCGAGCGTCAGCAGTTGGGGCGGAAACCCAACCGTCACCAGAAGGATCGGCCTCTTTGGTGGCGCCGGGAAGCGGAGCAGAGAGGAGACGATCCGGTCGATGATACCAGGGAGGGTTGAGCTCTCCTGGTCTAAGCGGTGCCGGAAACGGCGCGACGGCGGCGGAGCGTCGAGAAAATCCGGCGGGGGCCTGTGAGGAGCTGGGACTGGTTCTGGCTCGTCAGCATGACTGCGGGGTCTCTTCTGACGTCGGTGGCAGGTCGGGGTTCGTCAGTGAACGGCCAGCAATTGGGCGGAGCGGCGGAGGGCGGCTCCGGCGAATTTATGGTGGAGTTCTGGAGGAAGAGGCGGCAGTCGAACCGGGAGTCGAGAGACTCTGGCGGAGTGCTCGGTGACGGCTCGTGGGGAGGCGAAGCGAGCCCCTTTTGTCACGACGGCATGATGGGGTTCCAACAGAGGTGGCGGTGGCTGCAGTGGCAACCGCGACCGTTTCGTCCGGTGATGGCGGCGAGCTCTGGGCGGCAATGAGATGGCCGGCAGCGGCAGTGGTCTTAGGCGGCAGCGGGACTTCTTAGGCAGCAGCGTCACGAGGAACGAAGTCCCTGAAGGGGGTATCGACGGCCTTCCTCTTCCTCCTTCCCTCCCTATTCTAGGTCACGAGGAAGATAACTCACAACGATAATTTCTCTCAAAAATACGGCGCCCTTTGAGGGGGGGTCCTACCTCCCCTTATATGGGGGCCCACAAGTGGGCTAAGGGGAGGTGGGCCCACTTAAGACCCTCAAGCCCATAAGTCACAAAGGCTACAAAAGGGGCTTATTGGGCCTCTTAAAGATAGACCCAATAAGCTCCCCTAAAAGGAGAAAGAGGAGGGCCCTCTTATGATGCTTAAGTGGGCCTCAAATGAAGACTCAAATAAGCCCCAAAAAAGGCCCAAAAAAGAAAGACACATAGGTTCCTCCCACTTAGGGTTTTAACTGGGCCTCAAAGAAAGACCCAATAAAACCCTAAAGAAAGAGAGACAAACAACAACACACACACATAGAATTGGGCCCGCTAACACAAACGTGAAGCCTAACAAGTCGATATGAAAATACAAAGAAAGATATGAGTGAGCTCAAGCTCGTCATCGTCGTGGAGGTGGAATGTTGTTGTCCCAAAGGGCTAGGCCATGTAGTGAAAGCCAGACTACTTCGTCTTCGCACGTCGATCAAGCTGAACTCAAACTGCCGGTGTCTCCTAAGCTGATGGAGACAAGTCCCGCTCGCCATCACTGATGGGGGCACGCGTGTGCCACTCCCCTTCCACATCACTAGTGGCCAGCTGGCTGTGGGGCAATGAGTGGTCGTCCACATGGGAGAAAGGGACTCATTACTTGGAAATGTGATATTAGTATTTATTCGGCCAAAACTACAGCGCACAAGCAATGTGGGACTAAATCCGCATCACACCTTCCCCCAAAAGGCTTTGAAGGCGAGCAACCAACATAGGTTTGAATCCTTCTAGAGCCAAAACTCATATTTTTATCTAATTATCATGACTTTCTTGTAGATTGCCGGTAAAAGATTAAGCAGTTAGAATCGCTAGATCATCGACAAAAATCTTGTCAACACGATTTGTAGAACATTGTCACTAAAATTGCTGAACGATTTGCGATAAAAAGATTACAAATCAATCGAGTAAATCATCTCTAATTGATTGACAAATAAGCTATCATTAGAAAGAGGACGATCTGCTGAAAGACAAGTCGCTACCTCCTTAGAGCATACTAGATGCGATGAAGAGCCTCCTCTTACTACATGGACCTAAGGATGAAGTTTCTTGACACGCACCTTACCTCCATTCAGCTCCTATCTATCGGGTGATAGTCATCAGAGAGCCACAAAGTCGTCATTTTTTTGCTCCACTGGGTGACAATTGTTAGAGATGATTCGACAACCCATTTCATTGATCTCTAGACTTCGCAAGGAAATCTAGAGATTGCCCATGTCATCCTTGTCCAAAGATAGCCTTCAAGGCTGTGGACACTACATGACGATCCTCTTGAACGCTTAGGATTATAGTGCATCGCCAACGCATCACCGCCGTGATACTAGAACTCTATTTTTCTACTTTCAACTTAATTTTTACTTCATTTAGTAATAATTTCTATGATTTAAATTTACCAAGTTATACTTCATTCAATTATGATTCTTCTAACTTTTATAGATCTTAATTTGATCAATTAAATCATTTGTAATCACTTACATAAGAATCACTAGGTAAAACTCTATTTTCGCCCAATTTACATTTGTCGGGTGCTGATGTCATCTTGACATCCGCACCCTTATTTCTCTTTTTCACAAATTTTAAATATATTTTTATTTTGTAGTATAAACTTTAAATAAAAAATCATATTCTTTGAGTAAAATTTTGAAAAATTACTTGATATTATATTACATCCCTATGATCAACCTTGAAAATTACCACTATTTTTAGAAGTTTTATTAAATTATAGTTGATATATTTGTTTATAAATACTTCTAAATATCTAAAAATTAGTATTTTCTTATTTTATAAATTTTAAATTTATGTGATTTAGTATACAATGACTAAGTCATGTCAGTACCCTAATTAGATTACTTAAATAAGGATCAAATGATCCACTAAAAATAGAAAAATCATCCATGATGATCTCTAAAAAATCACGAATCATGTTTGAAAAGATAGACATTATGCACTACTAAAAAGTGGCTAGGGCATTACGTAGTTTGAAGGACATTCTCTTGAATGCATAGGTTCCAAAGGGGCAAGTAAAACTTGTATTTTCTTGATAATCTAGATAAATAACTATCTGATTATATCCCGAATACCCATCTAGGAAACATAAATATTTTTACTTTGCTAATGTTTCTAAGATTTGAACTAAAAATGGAAGAGGGAATTGATCTTTTCTTGTTACTGTATTAAGCCTTTGGTAATGAATGGACACCTTCCATCTTGTGGTTAATCTTATTGGTACTTCATCTCCTTTTTCTGTTTGTGTCACAGTCCAACCTGATTTTTTGGTACGACTTGTGTTGGACTCACCCATGGGCTATCAAAAATAGGTTAGATGATCCCTACATCAATCTATTTTATAATCTCTTTCTTCACTACCTCTCTCATGGTGGGGTTCAATCTCCTCTACTTCTCACGACTAGGTTTCACATTATCTTCCAAGTAGATTCGATGTATACAAATGTCTAAATTTATTCCCTTGAGGTCTGTCATTGTCTAGACAATTGCTCCCTTATGATTTCTTAAAACCTCGGCAATCCTATCCTCTTGTTCCTCAGTCAATGATGCTGAAATGATTACATACAAGGTTTGGTTAGGCCCAATAATATATATTTCATTGATTCAGGCAATTGTTTCAGATCTAAATCTAGAGCTTGTTCTAATGATGGCTTAGATGATACTACTATGTTTAAAGGTTTTTTAGTTTTATGTTTTGCATCTGCATAGGTTGGTTCAAAATCAGCCACATGTTGAACCTAATTGACCTCTTCAACACCATCAACTTCCTCCAATTCATCCATATCCTTGATAGGGAATTTAGTGCTGCGAAATACATTAAATACAATGTTCTTATCTTCTGATTTTATATTAATTATTTTATTTTTGCAGTCTTATTTACCTTAGCTGTGGCAAGGAATGGTCTACCCAAAATGATTGGTGCATGACATAAATCATCTTTAATAGGGATATCTACGATTAAAAAGTTAAGAGAAAAACAACAACCCTTCACATCAATAATGACATCCTCCAACAAACTTTGAGGAGTTTTTACTAAACTATCTACTAGTTGGAGAACAATAAGGGTCTCCTTAAGCTCTCCCAATTGAAATTGATTAAAAACTTCAGCAGACAGTAGGTTCATACTGTGCACTTGTTGTAGCATTTAAATACACACTATCTAATAATATTTATAACTAAGACTTAATAAAACATTAATATTGAAGTAAGTCTTAAGTTGAACACAAAGATATTGATTAATCTGTCATGAAAATGAATTTAATTTATTTATAAAGTGATTTTAATATTTTATTAATATTTAACAGAAATAACAAAATAGAAAGGTGAGGTGAGAAGAATAAAGGAAGGGAACCATGAGAGAACTCTCATGGGAGAGAGAAGGGATGAGATCTCTCATGAAAGGGAGAGAAAGAGAGAAGAGAGAAATCTCACATGAGACAGAGAGAGAAAAGTCTCACGAGAGAGAGAGAGAGAGAGGGAGATTGATCGAGAGAGAGAAAGAGAAGGAGATCGATTGAGAGAGAGGGGGAGAAAGGGAGAGATCTCACGAGAGATGGAGAGAGAAGAGAGGTCTCATGAGAGAGAGGGAGAGAGAGAAATAAGATGAAAATGAAGAAAGAGGGAAATATGGTCAACCCATTTTCTTGGATAATGTGTGCTCGAAGATTCAGACACATAACACGAGGTCAGTGGTGAATGTTTCTAGCTTCTTTTAATTGTTGAAGGCTCATTAATTAGCCTTTAATCTAGGTGATTTTGCATTCAAAAATAAAAAAAATACTTGTTATTTGCAAAATGCCAAGAACATAAATATGTCTAGATTTGACAGTGAAAATTAATAAAAAATAAGTTGAAAATGATCTTAGCTTAATCTTAGACAAGTTTCAAAAGATTTAGAATAAGAACTAAGATCATTCATCAAGTTTTGAATTAGTTCTACTCATTTCAATCGAAACGTGCATGAAATAGAAATAGCTTACCATAAAATGTAAATAAATGACAAAAGTAAGTAAGTAAATACTAAAATAGGAAATAAATTATTGCCTAAGTTTAGTTTGCATCTTGGGCAATTGGACACACAGGTGTGGTGGCTTGGTTTTTTTTGGACATACCACGCCATGTTAGAAGTCGTAGAAGTATTGTCTGGAAGTGCTACATTGCTTGCTAGAGAGATCCACCGAAAGAAGGGTTAACCATGCTGTCACTATCGTCTGAGGGGAGAAGGGAAGAGCTGACCACTCACTAGAGGCCTTGAGTGTAGTCAAGAGAGGAAGGAAGAAGCTTACTGATCATCATATATTTACTAATTATTAACTCATGATAATGAAGACTTATCACACCCTCCAACTTAAATCATTACTAGTCCCTTAGTAATAGAATTATAAAAATAAAAATTTACAAATCTCAAACATCATATCCTAATGTATAAAAAATAATAATAATTAAAAATGATGTACCTTTAGATATTTTGGATTCTTATATTAAATATTTAAGAATGATGTCAAGTACTTAAATATTTAAACACTTCTTGGAATAACAATCTAGACTTCACTTCTTCTATTCATATCTTTATCACTTCTTCACTCATAGATATATTTACAAGATGTTCCAATTATCAATACTCATCTAAGAATAATATTGATCCTATATTTTCTTTTTTCTATGGTTTGATTTTTGAAGTTTGTACTATATTTCTTCTTTCTTCTTTTTTTTATATATATAGTGGATAAGTAACTTTTCCTGTAGACAAATTTTGACAATAAGAATAATGTCTCACACTCTCTATGTGTACTCTTCATTTCAAGGCTTTTACTTTATCTACTTATTTTACAGCAAGTGTTTTTCTATGCACGATTTTTGACAATGAGAATGATGTCTCACACCCTTCATGTGTACTCTTTGTTTCTAGATTTTTCACATTGCTCTCTCTTTTTTTTTCAAAATAAATAATTTCTGTTCACAAGTCCTAAAGATCAGGGTGCAAAAATCTCTATTAAACTCAAATAATCAATCAAAATTTCACATCAAGTAAATACTATCCATCAAGATCATGAAGTGAAAATATATAAAATCAAATCCATGTTATCTATCATGTATCCAAGGAGTATTCCAATATTTCATGCTACTGGATCATTCTTTTGACTGAAAAATAATCTTCTTAGTATCTTTTGGTATCAAATCAATCTAATTGATTTAATTTTTCATGCATGTAATATTATGTAAGAAATTTGTAAATTAGATAGTTCTAATAGTTATGTTTTCTATTTTCAGTTCTTTTTTTAGTTCTATTTTCAGTTCTATTTTTAGCAACAATAAATTTGTTAAAAATAAATCAAAACTATCCTCTTTATAACTGTAATTTCGAATTTTAGTAATATATGTCTAGGGGATTGAAATGTGAGAAAAGGGTCTCTAGAATTTCAAAATTTGGGCTGTTTTTTGTCTACTTTTGATTGTCTCTTGTTTTTGATAAAAAACTAGAAAATAGATGTTGTAGTTTTTCTGATTTTTTTTTTGTTATAAGTGAACATGAAAATAAAAATAAAAATACAAACACATTTTTAATTGTCCTACATCATAAATTAAGAATTAATACTTCACCCCCTACTGAAAAATGACATTATCCTCAATGACATAGAAAGATCAGAACAGAATATGTAGAAAATATGATTTTCAAGTGAAACATGCATATATGTAAAGTTAAGCACTAAAAATGTTGTCATAAATGATAAAGCTTAGAAAGACATCACCTCAACCTTATTTTTAATTTTCCACTTATCTTACACTCCTCCTGCACGTTTTCAAAAATAAACAAATGTAGAAACAAATACTATAAACTTCTAAGAAAAATAGAACTTTAAAAAAAAATCAAAAAAAAATAAAATAAAAACCATGGGTTGCCTTCCATGCAGCATTGAATTTAATGTCTTTAGTTGGACAGCTCTTAGATCATATAAAATGATCTATGGCCATCAAAATATATTTGTATCCCAAGGTAAGTTTCATGATATTCTTTTTCAGATTTAGCATAAATTCATATACTTCATATATATACCTTGACATACTTTTAGCAAAAACAAAATAAAAATTAACAAAATTTTCCTAAAAATAATATTTATATTTTGAAAAGAATCTTTCCTTATTTCTATCTTGTTTTGTAAGGTTCTCATTCATTAATAAATACTTTCTATTAATAGACCATAAAATGTGATCAAGTCATATAATTTTCAAATTAGCTCTTACCCAATCTAGATTTTGTTTATCCAAATTGATTTCTCTAATTCCTTCACTCACCCATTTCTTAATATCTTCTTTTATTTGCATAATCTTCCATTGCTCTATTTTATCTTCCATATATATATTTGTTCAATTTGTGAGGAGTGAAATATTTCAAGCTTAGAAATAATTATAATGGGTTGTGGGTTTTGAAGGATGGAAGGATTGTCTTCTTTAATCTTAGATCTAATAAATTCAATAAAATTCAAATTTTCTCTTCTAAAATTATTTTTATATTCATATTCATTATTTTCGTTTCTCTTTATTAGTTGAATCAACTCTTTTTCTAGCTTTTCGTTTCTCAACTCATCAAATTTTTCATCTTCCTAAAAGCTATCTTCTAACTTCGATATATGATATACATCATCATCTTGACTATCAACATCCATGGCTGCAAAATTATGATTAGATTTATTAAATTCATCTCTTACATCTCTCAAATCAACTAATTTTTCCTCACTTGAAATATATTTTTCTTCATTTCTATCTTTACTCCCTTTTACTAAAATTTGGATGATTCTTCCATGACCAGCTGTTGTTTCTTCATCTAAGGGAATTTCTTCCCATCATCTTCACTATATTCATTCATCAATGGTGAGCAATAAATAATTTTATTTAATTTTTACTACTAAATTTTTAGTGTTAATATTCTCATTTACTTCTAATGGCTTATCTATTTCTTCTAATAATTGAAAATAAGGATCACGTAAAATATTCTCACTCAATGTATTCACTATCCTAACATTTTCATTTTATGAGTTTTTTCTTAAATTTATTTAGCTAGACTCTTCTTATTGAAGTCCTACTATTAGACAGTTTCTTGAATTTTCTATGGGCTGACTAGGTGGCTGTCTCTCTTCTCTTATTCTCAAAAACCTCTATAATTTGTTTTTGGTGCAACATCATTTGATTTATAGTTTGTTACATTGTTTGACTCATTTGCTACATCATTTCCATAGCATCAGGTTGGATTTGAGAGGACTATTTTTCTGAAATTTGTGTTCTTATTTTAGACAAAATTTAAATTTTGAATTAGATCTAAATGCTTCTAGATTTTGAATATTATTTGGGTTTCTTCATGAAAAAATATTTCCCTAATTAAGATTATAAGAATTAAAAAAATATTCCCTATTTTTACTAAAATCGTGGGTTACTTGCACTTACACTTGCTTAGGATGAAATGATTGATTTAACTTATAATATTAAAATTCAAAATTATCATTTTCACCATATATAGGACATGCATTATATGCATTCAATTGAAGGTTAGGAGGCTTTCTAATATTTTCAATAAGTAAATCAAGTTTTTTTAATCTTTGATTAATTTAATTAAATTAATTTCTTAAATTAGAATCATCATCATGATGCAATTCATAAATTCCTCTCTTCTTATCCTTATCATATAATTCAAAAGAGGCTTGATCTCTAAAATTTTTGCTTAAATTCTCATAAAGACTAAAAATCTCATCAGGAGCTTTCTCCATAAAAGTTCCTCTATATATAGAATCAATCATGTTTCTATGTTGTTCTAATAATCTATCATAAAAAATTCTATTGAGCTACCACTTGGGTATAGCATGATGAGGACATTTTGTAAGTAAATTTTTGAATTTTTACGATGTCTCATGTAAAGTTTTTCTTGATCTTTGTGAAAAATTATATATATATTGTCTCATATTTTGAGTTTTTCTTAAAGGATAATTTTTTTGAAGAGATGCCTATTCTATATCTTTCCAACTAGTTAGTTTTCTATCTAATGTGTATAGCCAATGGCTAGCTTTTTCCCTAAGTGTATGAGGAAATAATTTCATCTTAATAATTTATGGTGTAACTTGAGAGAAATTAACTAAACCACAGACCCTATGAAATTTTTCTAAGTGTTGATGAGGTTCCTCTAAAGGCAATCTATGAAAATTAGGAAGCATTTGAAAAATTCTAGGATTTATTTTGAATTTAACAGTAGGTGCTAATGGGACTTTAATATTAGATGTTTTTTGAAATGAATCAGGGATATAATAATTTTTCATGGGCATAAGATTGTTCTAAGTTTGACTTGTACTTCCTTTAGGATGCATCAAAATTAATTTTTCTTTCAGATTTTTGGTTTTAAATGAAATAATGAAAGGATTTTCTAGCCTTGGATGTAGAGATCTTCTATCATACATAAAAATCAATAAATTTGAGGAAAAAGTTTAATCATTATTACCCTCCTTCAGTATGCTCCAGTCCTTGCCATGTTTCTCTTCATTCCTTTTTTTTTTACAAGAAGAAAATAAAACAAGAGTTAATAATTTTTTGTACTCTAAAAGAAAAATAAAAAAATACTAAATATTATACAATACATCCTGACAATGAAACTAAAAT